TGAATCTCTTCTAAGAAGGTAGGAAGCTGTATTAAAGCCAAATGGTGGTGAAATACTTCCCAGGTCTTCACATTATTTTGTCCAACCCCTGTATAATGGTCTTAAAACAATACATATTTAGTTTGGTTTATGCCATTGTAGTCGGTATGTGCTAGGCAGCTTCCTTCATTAGCAGAGCATGGCTGTCGGAGCAGAGGTGTTGTGGGATTAAAGTGAGATGAGTGCCTCATCAAAGAGACCGTCTCTCTCCTGACTGCTGCGTTTCCGCTTGCCTGGATCTCTTAATTACTTGAAATCTCAAGACATGCTGCTTTGGTTTAGCCACGTCTCCGCACATTAGAGCCGCACAACTGAATCCAAACATGCCGTCTGCTCGTTCCATCTTCCGTCTGTTCTTGGAACGAAAGCGACTCACCTTGATGAGATTCAGCCAAGTAGAGTCCCCATCCAAACATGCTCACTGATTATCATCAAGCTCCATTATGTTTTGTTGGACTTTGTTATTGATTTGCTCAAAGTATGCCTACCTTCTTATTCAGCAGGCTATCACAGTCAGGGCTGGAGCGAGATCATGGCTGCTAATGCCTCTGTGACCATGTTGCGCACATCCCTGCCAGCCATCTGGTGCTTACTGCAGTCATGTATCCTTAAAGAAACTGCAATGCACAGAGACAGCTTATACATCGCTACAGCTTATCAAAAATAGTCATTTGCAAACTTGGATAAGGGAATTACATTTTTGGTTAAGAGCACTGTAAAAATGGACACATTCAAAAATATATACATATATATTTATTTGATAAGCAAATTTACTGAGCATGAACATGAATCTTACCTTTGTTATCTTAAATTGTTAAATCAAACAAACGTATAAACAAACAAACAAAAAACTATAACGTAGACAAACTATAAACAAACGTTGCAAGAATATTACAGTCATATTAAACCCAATGTCCCCTCAGGTTATTTTCACTACAAAAAGAAACTAAAACTATTAGAAATAATTTTTTGTTAATTAAAATAAAGCAATAAAAGAAAAAAATATATATTTCAGGAAAAAATGAAAATGTGAAATTTTGCTTGTTGAAGTTGAAGTAAAAAATGCTAAAACTAAAAGCAAATTAAGAGTATTAAATGCTCTTATAGTACATAAATACTAAAATAACATTGCGTTTTTATTAAACAAGAGAGTCCTCAATGTTATTTGAAAGACGTGAAAGTAGGGGATACTGTATTTCATTTAAAATACAATATATTAAATTATGAAAAGTTTATTATTTCACATTTTATTATTGACATGTTCTTAACAAAGGATTATATTTAATAAGCTAGCAGGCTAACAGGCTAGTGGTATGCTAAGCAGTTAAAGAATAAGAAATGTTTAATTTCCCAATCTATAGCTATTTATATTATAATTAACATAAAAATTGTGGCCTAATTTGTGCAAAAGGATCCAATGGTCACGACACCGGATTCATTTTTATATAGCGTTATCATGCTATTCCAGTGAGCTGTATAACATAAAGCACATATAGCGTCAACATTTAACCTTTTTTTTTTTTTTTTGAAGTGGTAAGCACCACTTGTCTTTTGAATTTGTCTAAATTGATTATTTTATACTAAACATGCTAAATATAAGAATCTTACAGTTTCTGCAAAATCTTACAGTTTCTGTAAACTTATGAGCACACAACTGTAACAGGTGAAACCACACACAATCATCCATTTTTGTTTTCTATGTATTTGTATTGAGGTTCTGTTCATCTGTTGCAGAAGAAGTCCACTGGGAAACATCTTGCCGGAAACATGAAATGGCATACAGAGCATGCGAGGACTGAAAGCTGCAACAGAAAACAAATCAATGGCTATAAAAGTGTCACCTAGATTGACAGTGAGCTCTGTTTACTACAGAGCATGCGTTATGTGCTCAAGAACAGGAACCATGGCAGAACAGAGCCCATGGATGGGGAACAAAGCCAAAATGGATTTTATGAAATTGCTTGTGACTGAATGAAAACACCTGTTTAAGACAATCTTCTCCCAGGATGCCTGTTGCTGCTGTTGTCAACACTGAAAAGTAACACTTGAATTTGAGGCTTTTTTATGTGCTGAAAAGTTGACGGGACAAGTTTAAATGCTTTTTTTTGTTTTGTTATTCAGCTATGGTGGGAGGAAGAAAGGGATCAATGTTCTTTCAATTCTCTGAGCAGTACTGTGAAAAAAAACCAAAAAAAAAACAAACTTCAATACTTCATTCTTTGAAAGGAGAAAAAGTGAAAAATACGTTTTTTTTTTAAAAAGTAAAGGGAATTAAAAAAAAACTTGAAAACATGCTCACGGTTTGTGTCCTGTTCTGGGGATCGTTAATCCAAAACCATTAGATTGATTTTTAATGCAAAAGGATGAATGCAAAGTAATTCTATTTAACATTCACATAACTGCAAATTGTTGTTAGTTTCAATAAAAACCTAAGAATGCAGTGACATGTATATACACACACACTGTATAAATAAAATATCTCCATATGATTATAGACGTCTTTTTTATTTGGTTTTGGAATTTATTTAAAGTATTATTATTGTCAAAGTTTTCAAAGTCTAAAAAGAGCTCATCCTATTCAAATTCAACATGAATAAGCAACTTCTCAAACTAAAAGTTACATGAACAGCAGACGATTAAATTCTCACACTATCACTAGGTGCATTTACATGGAGCATTGTATTCCAATTACACGTTTACATGCAACCAAATAATCTGTTTGTAATCGGATTGACTGCTTAATCGGACTGAAAAGCCTTCATGTAAACACCTTAATCGGCTCAATCGGAATGAAATTTCGATCGGATTGAAGGGGGTGGTTTATTCCTTTTCTAATACGATTGAGAGTGCATGTAAACACTCGATCGGATTGAACCCCGAAACTGAAAGGACTGCGCAATGTGCAATGATGCAGAAATAGCTTAATGAAGTATGACGCGCAGAACGAGCGGTTCTTCCTTTTGAATAAAGTGTTGTATAAATGCGTGTCCTGTCATTATAAAACTCTCCTTTCACTTGGCAACTGTGAAGTGGAGCAGGACAACCTCCCACCAGTCCTTGTTTTGGATTCTCATCCACAGGCAACCCGTTGTGGGAGCGGGGAGGGGCATTTTTACTGCGTGATAAATATGAGCAGCACGGCACAGCGGTTTATATGTATATTTATCCATAAATGGATAAATATTAATTCTGCTGTTAAAAACAAATAAAGAAACCGTGTAGGAGTGTGGTTATGTGCAAACAAGAGAGAAACTCTATATTTGTGCAGTGTGCGCATGTAAAAAACAAAAAATCTATTCCGATTTGAAGCTTGTGACATATAAACGCGCACATCAACCCGATCACTTTATTTAGCGTTCATGTAAACACTACATTCAGATTCATCAGTCGGAATGTTTTGAAACAAAAAGTGTCGAATGAAATTAATTCAGTCCGATTGAACCAAAAATTGTGCATGTAAACATTTAAAAGTCCAATCTGAATGAAAATGCTCCATGTAAACACCTCAATCAGAATAAAAAGGCCCAAACAGATTCATCAATCGGAATGAATTCAGTGCGAATGAACTTAAAATTGTGCATGTAAACATTTAAAAGTCCAATCTGAATGAAAAGGCTCCATGTAAACACCTCAATCAGAATAAAAAGGCCCAAACAGATTGAAATTTTAATCGGGTTGAGAGGGGTGAGATTAACCTTTTCTAATCCTTTCGATAGGACATGTAAACACTTGAAGAAACCTGAACACCGTGTGTTTTGAGTTTGAGCTCCGTCAAATTAATTCTTTGTCGTCTAATTTTTTATCTTAAAATCAATTTTATACACCATCATTTTCGAATAATTGCTGTTAATAGTGTTCATCGTCTTTTTTATTACGTCTTAAATTGATTTTTCCGTACATTTCTGCCATATGTACATTAATTGACAGTCACCACTGATAAGCTACCACTAAATATTGTAGAAACTTAATTTGCTGTAAAGTTGCTTTGCAATGATTTGTATCGTGAAAAGCGCTGTACAAATAAACTTGACTTGACTTGACTTGATCGGATTGAAAACCGAAACTGGAAAGTTTTGCGCATGTGCAATGATGTAGAAATGGCGCAATGATGCGCGGAACGAGCCAATGTTGTTATAATGTTGTTATAAGCATCATTGCACAAAGCTTCATGTACTTTTGTCTCCTAATTAGGACCAAAAAGAGAGAAATATTAAGTCTGCTTTTTAAAACAAAGAAAAGGAGTATGGTTAGTATGCAAAAACAGCGGGAAACTCTGTATATTCTTGCAGTGTGTGCATGTCAAGATTAAATCTGATTTGAAGCTTGTGACATATAAATGCGCACATCAACCCGATCACTTTATTTAGCGTTCATGTAAACACTACGTTCAGATCCATTAGTCGGAATGATTTGAAACAAAAAATGTCCATGTAAACGTGGCTACTAACAACACAAACATAAGCAAAATTCACAAGAAATAATCTATGAGAACAATAACCTATAGGCTTGCATGTAAACCCCAGGTTTTTTGGCTGGTGTACCACACAATATGTTAACAACTCCTGAGTACACATACTGTCCGCGGACGCCCACTCTAAATCCTGATGTCATCTATGATCTCATGCTTTGAAGGGTGTGGGGCATCGCAGAGCGTGTGCAAACTCCAAAAACATGAGCTCATCATACACCCACGATAACACATTTAGTGGAAAAGAAAAGTTGTTTCCTCGAAGGTCAGGCACATGTTTTCTAAAGGCTGTTTCACACCATGCCAACGTTTCAATCAATCCGTGTAGTATTTTAAGATGGCTTCATACACGGCTTAACCAATCATATTTCAGAGTCAGAACTATCGGTTTTATAACTGCTATTTTTATGGTTTCTCTTTACGTACTTCAAGCCGGGTCAACATCTTTATGACAGAGAGGCCAATAAGACACGATTCCTTTTTAAAAACATCTTTTTAATAAGGTGCTAAAAAAATCTTTGACATGTTTCTGCAAATGGACAGGGGCACGTACGCCTCTCCAGTGCCACTTACGATTAGCATTACAGTGACAGAACAGAGCACAAGCACCGACTGCAGCACAATCACAGTGAAGAGGAGGACAGAACAAAGGTCACTGTTAATTAAGGCAACGTTAACAACAGGTAAAATAGAGAACTGTTCTGTACAAAGACACGAAAAAGTGATTCACATGCAGGCTTTTCCCAGAGAAGAACAGAACCGTGTGTGTGTCCAAAGTTCTCGGTTGGAAAGCTGTGGAAACGTGGGATTCAGCGTGTCCGTAAAACACTTTTCCTTTCCACTGATAACCGTCAATCAGTTCCACTGAAGTCAACACTAAATCCAACAGCAGACAGAGATTCATTTAAGTCTCAAGCCACCAAATTTCACCTTTCACAGCAAAGTGAAAGTGGCAAAGCAGTCCAGATTCAGATGGGTTCCATTTTTATGGTAATGTTGAAAATGCAGGAAAGAACAGCCCAGCGTGTGCATGGGTCATACAACAGGCTGTATTTAAAAATTTGAGAGGGAGTATTGCACTTGTTTTTGCATTAGGTTATGCCACAAATCATGACAGGCTACAGAGCATGGCTATTATTGCTGGTGAATAGTGTTGTACTGTTCCAGCAGTTCATAATGCCATGTTTAAATGCTCTTCTGCAACAGTACTCAGGCATAAAAACCATTAACAATCCCTTATTGTCAATATTAGTGTATTAATCACTAAAATGAGTTAATAAATTACATTTAAATGCATGATCAATTGCATAAAATTCTAAAAGGCTTGTGCAACAGACACCCACTGCGCGCATGCTACAGCTATAAACCAAGCCTTCACATGAGAATGGGACGAACACAAATGGCTACCTAAACATGAATAATACAGATCCCTCATCACATAAACTGTGACCTCAGACGCCTTGATGTAGCATGACCCAGAATCGGACTAATGGATGCAAGGTGATTAGCTAAACACCACAGCGGAGTGGATTATTCTTTGCATAATATGGGTTGATACGGAAAACAAGAAGACTGGAGGACCACAGCTTCTGCCACTTATTGACAGTACTATCACAGGTCAATTAAAGCTTGGATCTCACAGGCTATTCACAAGTGACACTACAGCTCTAAGAGGTCCCCGGTCCACAGACGGCCATAGCTCCCGCCAGGCGGCTAATTGAGCTTGTCTATAATTATCCATTACACTCCCATTAGATGTGGTGAGAGCACTACAGGAGTCATCACCATGGGGCGCTGCCAAATCAGTGAGTAGATCCGCTTGTATCCATGTCTCTCTAAGCAATAAAAGTCCCTTTTATTGTGCCAGTATGTAATCACATAATTTCCATTAATCGTTAAAAAAAAAATTTTATACAAATATTTTAAAAAGTCAAATAAAACATAAAGAAGGGATGCGTCAAGGAGGCAAAATGTCAAGTAGAAAGGTCAATATCTACACTTCTTTCTTCCTTAGTCAGGTCTCAGTTCCCGCTGTTAGTTATGATGCTAACACAATGCACTGCCATCACTGCTGGTCATATATTTCACAATTACAACATAAAAAACCCCAAAAAAACCCAGATCCATAAAAATGAGCAACATGCTGTGTGCTCTTTCTCTGCACTCTGCTGGAATATAGTGCCCATAAAAAGACTTCTTCTGCAGTCTTCTGCTGAAAAAAGCTCACGCGGTGTGCTCAGACAGAGACAAAGACATCCAAATAGAGGCGGTCATACGATTCCCTGAAGAAGAGGAGGAGCAGGAGACTGAAGATGCAGGAGCCTGTAAGACACCAGTTCAACCAGGACAGCTCTGAAAAACAAAAGAGCAAGGTTGACTGATGTTAGGGATGACAGCTTTTAGAGCACCAGATGCCATGTACAGTATTTCAATGCATGATAGAAGACGTGTTTATCATATTCTTATAAATAACTCTAGTCCATACATTTCTTATTTTCTGTATGGTTGAAGGTTCATGCATTTTTTGTTAATCAATAGAAAAAAAAATATATAAAGTTTAAATGAGAAACTATTAAACTATGACAGGTGAGTTACTGCAAAAAGACAGTCATTGCGACATGGTAAATTACCATTTTCATAGGTGTAACGTTATACTATTGGCTTGGAAAATACATTAATTTGACTAGAAACACCAGAGACCAGAAATGTAAAGCATCGTTCCAGTCAGGCGAGACTTAAAAAAGTGGATATAATAATAGAAATAATGCCCCACATACTCTATTTTTTCATTTCACGACATTACAGAACTAAAGGTGAAAACTTACAAACATCAATTCACTTGACTAAATGTAGCTGGCACTTCTGACCAAACCACATACAAGTTCATGCTCCAATAACCAAAGGCAAATAGACTAGAGAAACAATATAATTGTCTGAAATATTTTATAGAGTATGTGAGGAAAAAAAGACACACTGTTTCCCACAGCCGCTGTATTGCTTACATTGGGCAGTTAAAGATACGAGAGGTTTTACTTTAAGGTTGATGGTTAAACCAATAGAATCATTTCACAAGCAATGCACATTAATACTAAGATTCCCATTAAAAGATGACACTGAAAACAGCATGTGAGAGCTGTGCAAGCACATTCAGAGTTGACATATACAGCAGCGATTCAATGCATGAAAGCCCCACACCAGCTGCTGTGGCCATGATAGAGCGCCGGGTTGAATATAACATAAACCAGGTCAAACACACAGACCCTTGAGGACAAAGGAAAGAGTGCAACTTAATTTAATAGAGAAGTGGCTTTGTAATTTTCACAAGCAATGCACATGAATACTAAGATTCCCATTAAAAGATGACACTGAAAACAGCATGTGAGAGCTGTGCAAGCACATTCAGAGTTGACATATACAGCAGCGATTCAATGGATGAAAGCCTCACACCAGCTGCTGTGGCTCCGATAGAGCGCCGGGTTGAATATAACATAAACCAGGTCAAACACACAGACCCTTGAGGACAAAGGAAAGAGTGCAACTTAATTTAATAGAGAAGAGGCTTTGTAATTTTGAGGCGTCCCGTATCCAGATAACAGGTTGATCAATTGCCCCTGAAGTGAGAGCTGCAATCGATGGCAGAAGGTGAAATGCATGCTGGGTCAGCTGCTGAGCCCATTTGGGCTAAATGATATGATTTAGCCATGCAGCACAATAAACGCAAGCAGGTATGCTCGAGGATAGAGCCATGTCGACTTGAAGAAATGGGAAGTGGGGATTCTTTCCAAAAGCCCCCTCATTAATCAGGCCTTACTATCCCTTCAGCAGTGCTGGTATAGCGGCAGGTTAATGGAGTTGTGTTTATCTGGCTATTATGTCTGTGCCGCACGCCTGCCCCAGCCTCATCAATTTAAAAGAGAGAGGTAGCATCAGCAGGCGGGATGTCTGCACCGAATGTTAATGAAGAGAGCGGCTCAACTCAGGTAATCCAATCAGATGCCCCACAAAAATATGTGAGTCGTCAACAGTCACCCTTCCAGCGCTAATGAAAGGCAGAACTTCGGACACAGCGCCCATCCTCTCCCTGAGGCAGCGACACTATGGAGAATGCAAAAGAAGTTGGGTTAAAGGATTCGATTTCTCCCACCTTCTCTCGCAATAATGGGAGCACAGCAATTATATCCTGTCTGTCAGTTTACGCAGCAGTCAAACTGTTATGTCGTATTTCCTTCCTCTTAATACCTGACGGCAGAATGCAGAGATGTTGTTATTAAGGGTACAATTTAGCCTGTCTCTTTTCTGCCATCGTCTCAGGGGCTGTAATGTGCTGAAAAGGCCACGGCGGAATGACAGCGTAAACAGGCCACTCACCGTGACACTCGCAATCTCTTACACCCGGAGCGTTGGGACAAAAGTGAGGACAAGGGGGGAGGGATGAGAGGAAACATCCTACAGCCGCTGTCTCACGTCGTGACCAAGCGGCCCAATGTCTTCGCAGTCACCCACAGGGCTCCTCACTTCCTGTCAGGCAAGCTAAGGCGTCTGAGATGGTCCTCTTATTGCTGTAATTATTCTTAATCGGTACCCATTCAGCTGGCAGACTGATGGCATATTTCAGTTCAGTTTAATGTCTCCCTCTGGCCCCAAGCAGCATCGAGAGAGGCTGACTGACAGTTCGTAGACTCTGTTTTCTCCTTATAAGATTAAATCACACCTATATTTTGCACCTATGAGTTTGATCTGTTTACCTGGTTTGGCCTGGAAAAAATAAAAAATAATATATATATATATATATAGAGAACAAACGAGCAGGTACAATTAATATGTATACAAAAATATCCAATGTAATATTGCTTGATAAAACATATGGTACCTATATATTTCATCCCTATGAAAAGTACTTAAGTGAAAAAATGACACACCTCAGCGTTAACTTAAACAGGTTAAGCATGGTGTGAAAAGCTAGGAAACCTGATTTTGCTGAAGGCTTACCTTCACAGGGAATTGAACATTAGCTAAATCAAACGCTGCAAAAAGAATTTAGAGCAGGAAGTGCACACTCTGGGTCTCTAAAAAAGGTTACTGGACCCTTAATTTTTATTATTGGCATTTGACATAAGGGCCACCTATAGAGAACAAACGAGCAGGTACAATTAATATGTATACAAAAATATCCAATGTAATATTGCTTGATAAAACATATGGTACCTATATATTTCATCCCTATGAAAAGTACTTAAGTGAAAAAATGACACACCTCAGCGTTAACTTAAACAGGTTAAGCATGGTGTGAAAAGCTAGGAAACCTGATTTTGCTGAAGGCTTACCTTCACAGGGAATTGAACATTAGCTAAATCAAACGCTGCAAAAAGAATTTAGAGCAGGAAGTGCACACTCTGGGTCTCTAAAAAAGGTTACTGGACCCTTAATTTTATTATTGGCATTTGACATAAGGGCCACCCTCAGACACTAGATGACATGGCCTTAACTAAGCCACACAATCAAAAAGGCTGCATGTTCAATCTTTACCAGCTATTCACAGCTTTCAGATTAAGGGTGAATGAACCAACCTTGCCAATTTAAATGGCCAGCTGGGAAGGACAGCAACGGTAACTCAGTGAAGCACATCCCTTTCACTTCATTTTAAAGTGAATACAAAGAATGTGTAAGACATTTGTGAATGTATCATTGGTCACAGGCACTTGCGATTCCTGAAAGCACATCAATTCAACCTTGGGTGGTTGAAAAAAAAAAAAAAAAGAGATTTTTTTTCAAATGGTTTTGAAAGAAGTCTCTTTTGCTCACCAAAGCTTTGTGAATGTATCATTGGTCACAGGCACTTGCGATTCCTGAAAGCACATCAATTCAACCTTGGGTGGTTGGAAAAAAAAAAAAAAAAGAGCATCTAGAAAATAAAAGAACATCTTTGAGGCAGGCCAATCTAGGTGAGGCAGGCAATTTTCAATGCACACTGAAAACCCAATCTAAACCATAGTTCAGATCTATATTAACAATGGAATGGAAAGAAACAAGGTAATTACAAGAGGGTAAACAACAGAACTCGGTCTCAATCAGGATTAAAGGGTCTTTAACAAAGAGAGAGAGAAGGACATAATGTGTCAAATATGAACCGCTCAAAAGCTTGATGTCAGTAAGATTTTTTTTCAAATGGTTTTGAAAGAAGTCTCTTATGCTCACCAAAGCTGCATTTATTTGATCAAAAACACAGTAAAACACTAATATTATAAAATATTTTTACAATTTAAAATAACTGTTTTCTATTTTAATAATATTTGTATTTTATAATAATAAAAATTTGTATTTTAATAATATTTCTTAATGTAATTTATTCCTGTGATACAAAGCTGAATTTTCATCAGCCTTTACTCTAGTCTTCAGTGTCACATAAGCCTTCAGAAATCATTCTGATATGCCGATTTGGTGCTCATTTCAATCAATGTTGAAAACACTTGCGCTGCTTAATGTTTTTGTGGAAACCATGCTACATTTATTTTCAGCATTCTTTGATGAACATAAAGTTCAAAAGAACAGCATTTATTTTTAAATAAAAATCTTTTGTAACATTATGAATTATTATATTGTCACTTTTGATCAATTTAGTGCATCTTTGCTGAATAGAAATACTAATTTAAAAAAAACAATGGTAGTGTAACTTAAGAAATAAGTTTTTGTCTTCATGATTAGAAAGAGGAGTCAGAGCTTTTCTAATGTGCAAGTGCCCTTGAGGTCAAAGTATGCTTCAGTTTTACATCTTGTGCGCATTTGCATTATCTGTGCCTTTGCCTCGAACTGATTGCACTGGTGGTTCCACTAGATAGCAACACTCACAGTTAGGTCATTCCTAACTAGCCTATGAAGATTTTTATAGCCTATAAAAATAGCAGAATAGGAAGGAAAAAAACAACATCTATGGCTGTGCAAGTGTTGTTAATTTCCCTAGGTTTCACATTTTAAGTGGAACTGCACCTTTAAGAGGAAGATTTTGTGCAGTTTAGTTAACAGTAAGCTTATTTTTTGAAAAGGGCTTTCTGCCAGTGGAAACAGCAAGAGGTTGCAGGATGGTTCTGATGAAACAAACAGAAATCCATTCATCATCTCTTCAGTGCCTACACACCGGTTGTCCTAAACAGAAACAAAGTGTTCAAAACTCAATAGAAATGTCAACACAATAATCTTCTATATATAGAGTCCTCATTGTTTCAACGTTATTTTCAGCCATGGCACGGTGTTGGCGGGCCAATGCTGCTCTGACAGCCACACAAAGGCAGAACGAATCTCATGGCTTCATTTGGGACCGATAACCCAATCAGATTTGAACGGATGAGCCAGTTAAGCTCACTCATCTCAATTTAATCTTCTCCAGGGGATCAGCAGAAAGACGGAGGAGTTTTCGCAGCCTGGGAGCCGTCCAGCAACCTGACTGCTCATAAAACAGAGATCCGTCAGCCGGTCAGTCAAGGCCACTGACAAAATGGGGATATGAGTGTATCACAGCAGGCATCTGGACTTGAAAGTGGTCAGTGTGAACAGAGGTTGACAGCTCCATAATTTATAACATATGTTAATTTCTGAAGAAAATGCGTGGTGCTTGCCTGCACCCACAAGTGTTGTGTGTGGTTTCCCAGGCATAGCTATGAAGTTTTAGAGATGCTCTAGGTTGTTTCTAGGATATTCTTAGGCTGATGTTGCCAGGCAACTCTGGTTAATGTTGCCGTCAACGGGCAACCAGGTGAGACACAGGGCCCACGACTGATCTAAAGTATCCAGAAGAAATTTGTTACCCATTCTCAGTGGGAAAGTGCCCAAGAAACATTCCTCAAAAAAAGTTGCCCGGCAAAATTGCTCAAAAAGTTGCCCCGTGTATCATCAGCCTTAGTGTTGATTAGTTGGTTGCTAAATGTTTCAAGTATTAAAAAAAATAAACAAAATAAAATTCATCGCATCACATTCTGATTCCTATATTTCGCTCAGGTTCAATGCACATCTATGGTATTTTTTTAACCCGTTTTATTATTCTTTTATCATACTGCAAGTCTGATTTTACCCCCTAATAAACCAATAAACAAATAACTAAATAAATGAATGAATGAACGAATGTACGAATGATTAAACAAAATAGGCATAAAGCAAATAAAGTCTGCTATTAGGACTCTTAATATTATGATGTGATTAAATCCCCAACTCTCATTACTGTAATGCATAAAAACACATTTTACAAAAATGTATTTATATTACTTTATTTATTATTTTACATAATACAATAATATATATATGTACATTGCAATTCAATTATTTCTAATTTTTATCTTGGTAGCATTTGTTTTACTACTTTTAATTTACAAATGAATTATAAATTGATTTTAATTAAAACAATTAATTTGAAAAATATTTTTTACGGCGAAAACTGTACTGTGTTACAGTAATGAGAATCATTAAAACAAATAAAAAAAGATAATACCAGGCCAATTATGAAGAACTGTGGGATAATTATCCTGAAAATAAAATCACAACCTAAGTATATTACATTTTCTTTAAGATTTTTTTTTTTTTTTCATCTTTTGGTTCTGGTGTGAAATGTTAACTAGGCATTTCCTGGACAGGTTTTGGGAGATTTCGCCCATTCACAACATAGAACATTATTAATAATTCATAATTATTACAATCACACGTGTTATTTATGTGTATATATGTTATGTACGTGTTATGTAGGCACACCAAAACACAATGCTTCATGTTTCTGAAAGGAAAACACATACAGCCTTTGTGTCAACCTGACGAAATGGTGTCCACCAACAGCAAGCGCTAGAATAAAACTATCACACACTACCTGTCAATCCAATGAAACCTGTCAGAAAGTGATACATGAATGTTCAGCTGGAAGCTACTATTTACACAGCAAGATCGGGCAGACAAGTCAATCTTCCTGCACATTTTTTTTCATATTTACACTGAAAGTTCATCATCATTCAGGAGGACAATGACTTTGGGACTGTGACACTGTCCTAAGTGTAAGTCTCTTTAATATCTCTGCCATGTGTTCCTGTGTGTTTAGGCTGAGGGAAAGCTTAGTTTTCTTTGCTGTAAACCCTGCACTGCCTTTCAAGAGTTAAAATATCAAGGTACCTGTGAAGTAAAAGGTGAGGCAAAACAGCATAAGTCCAGTGAAGAGGTTGCTGAGGAAGGTGACCACTCCGCAGGTGATGCCCTCAGGAACAGGGTAAACCGTCTCAATGAACAGCTCCAAGAAGATGGGCACACTACTGTTGATGAAGATACCCACCAGGATGCAGGAAGTGTAGAGAGTGGCTAAAGGAGCAGAGAGAGAGAGAGGGCTGTATCTCAAATACATTTCTAGAATAATTCCTTCTTTACACAGGAAAAGAAAGACAACCTTGCAAATGAATATTTGAGGGGAAAAAAACTTTCTAACTCAATTTACCTGTGCTGGCAAACCCTGTTTCAGCAGATATTACTCTAATCGACTAAGAAAACACTGTTACACCTCATTCTTAAGTAATGATTATAATGTACTAAATTGGTACTACAGAAACCTTTCTTTTTATCTTAGCACAGCTGAAGTTTAATGAAGTGTGGAAATTGCAAATGTTTTTTTTTTTCAGTATTAAATACACTTTCATTTCCAAAATTCAATTTTATTTTAAATATTGCCAAAAAGAAACACCCTGTTCTAAAAACTCATCACATCAGTCTATTGTCATTTTAAATGATGAGAAGCTGTTCCATGTGTGAGTGTGCAGTTCTGTTTTAAAAGAAGAACAAACTGGTTCTAACCAGGGTAGAGATAAATGGATGGCCCAAAGCAGAACAACAAGAGGACAAGCACATCAGAGTCTCTAGTCTGAGAAACAGATCCCTCAGCTGGCAGCGTCATTGAAAAGTATGGCAAACACTAGTTTCATCAAAAATGGGATAAACACCTACGCTGCATTAAAACTTAATCTCAAATACTGTAATTATTTAAACATAAATTGCTTTAATGCACACTAATGTTCAAACGTTTAGGTTCAGTGACATTTTAAAATGTTTTTTAAAGACATCTCTTCTTCTCCCCAAGGCTGCATTTATTTGATCAAAAATAGAGTTAAAACAATAAAAATAGTGAAATAGTATTACAATTTAAAATAACTATTTTATTTGAACATATTTTAAAATGTAATGTATTCCTGTGATGGCAAAGCTGAATTTTCAGCAGCCATTACTCCAGTCTTGAGTGTCACATGATCATTTAGAAATCATTTTAATATGCTGATTTGCTGCTCAAGAAACATTTCTTATTATAATCTCATTAAATGATGATGTTGATAACAGTTTAATATTAATATTTCCATTTTTTCAGGATTCTCTGATGAATATAAAATTTAAAAAAAACAGCATTTATTTGAAATATAAATCTTTTGAAACATAAATGTCTTTACTGTCGCTTTTGATCAATTAAATGTACAGTATCTGTGCTGAATAAAAGTATTAATTCCCTAAATCTTACTGACCCCACACTTTTAAACAGTAGTGTTGTTGACCAATTTAATGCAACATTGGTGAATAAATAATCAAATGCTTTCAAAAACATAAAAAGTTCATAATGATTCCAAACTTTTCAATGTAATTTAGTCCTGAACACAAATCCTGAAAAGTCTTGATATAAGTGGTAATCATGTCATAAGTGAAAAAACTGTCAATGGCACTTCACAGTCAAGGTAGTAATGTGGCCAAAATGTCAATCATTGTCAATTATTCCTTACATAACAACGTTACATAATAAATACTATTTACAACTTTCAGATACAAGACAAATGTATTTCAAACTGCTCTGTGACCCACTGAAATGAAGCAATAAAGCATGAAGACTCTAGGGGAAGTCGTGGCCTAATGGTTAGAGTCGGACTCGTAACCCAAAGGTTGCGGGTTCGAGTCTCGTACCGGCAGGGATTGTAGGTGGGGGGAGTGAATGTACAGCGCTCTCTCCCACCTTCAATACCACGACTGAGGTGCCCTTGAGCATGGCACCGAACCCCCAACTGCTCCCCGGGCGCCGCAGCAAAAAATGGCTGCCCACTGCTCCGGGTGTGTGTTCACGGTATGTGTGTGTTCACTGCTGTGTGTGTGCACTTTGGATGGGATAAATGCAGAGCACTAATTCCGAGTATGGGTCACCATACTTGGCCACATGTCACTTCCCTTTCTTTACTAGGGATGTTCATTTTAACCTTTTAACCGACCGTAAGAATTTTGACCGATTAATACAATCAGTTAAACAGTTTAAAAAGTAATTTAATTATTAATTTTTTCAGTAATTTATCAAAATATTTACAAAAAAATTTGCTGCATGGTTAAAATACACTATGCGTATAAAAAATGTGTTTTTTTAGGGGGGAAAAACATAAGTCGCATTTTATGGTTTCATTCAGAAATAGGCCTAATGCCGCTCTAAATGTTTACAAACATTATAATAAACACTGTAAACATAGCTAGGCTATTTTAGTTCCCCTCACTCCACAACAAATCCTTTTAATTAACAGTATTTAGAAAAGAACAAGAATTAAAAATATAAGAAGTTATAGCAATATAAAGGCTAACACTTAACAACACAGATTTTACTACCTATTTTTTACTACATAGGTTTTTTGCATATGTTTGACTGACTGTATTTTATTATGATAATAAACAGGCTGCATTGTCAATGTAACAATGCTTAACTGTGTGTGCGCATGCGGCGCCGAATGTAAGGAAGTACTGGTATCCATGTGGTAACTATGGTATAAGTGAAAGGAAATGACAATGGCACTGTTAAATTACATGAACATGGTAGGCGATGGTCCACTGTCAATTATTCCCTGCATTACGATTCCAGCTAGAATAGATTCTGATGAATTGATGTTGCACAACATAGCCTTGTGTTCATTAGCGAGAGATGTGAATCATAAGAGGCATGGGAAGCCACGAATGGCAATGGGACACGTGAGTGCGATAAAATCTTGCAAGATGGAGTGATGGCCCATGAGTCTATGAGCTCTTGTATATGGACTTGGATTATCGGGAGCTGAGAGATTGTTGTGCGCTGCGGTTTGTCTTTGTTCAACGGACAAATCTAGAATGTAATATAGTTTTGGTTGTTTATCAAGGTTTATCATTTGTTTGTTTTTTACCCTTTTCAGCACACCAGTAGTCCTGGTTAGTGTCTACGCACCCAATTGGGATGACGTTAATTTTGTGAAAAAAATATTTTCCTTGTTACCAGATTTAAACACTTACCATCTTATATTTGGTGGGGATTTGAATTGTGTGATGGATACAGCTATGGATCGTTCCAACCCTAAAACTGTACCACTTTTAAAAATGTCTCAAATTATTGCTGGATATATGACTCAAATTGGAAGTGTGGATCCATGGAGGTTTTTATTTCCTGATAAAAAAAGAATTCTCTTGCTTTTCACATGTCCATCAGACGTACTCAAGGATAGATTATTTCTTTACTGATAAAAGGCTTATCCCAGCAATAAAAAACATAGAATACTCTGCTATTGTCGAATCAGATCACGCCCCCGTAATTCTTGATATTTGTTTTACTTATAACTACCCAACATGGTCAGTATGGAGGCTAAACACAACTTTACTTTCAGATGCAAACTTTTGCCAATTCATATCTTGTGCGATTGACAATTTTCTACTAACTAATAAAACAGACTCTATATCACCATCATTATTATGGTAGACATTTAAGGTTGTAATAAGGGGAGAAATAATATCATACTCCGCCTTACCTAATAAAGAAAGGAAAAAAACACAGGAGAAACTCATCGAATCTATACAGAAAACTGACCGTCAGTATGCTAAGGCCCCAACGGCAGAACTATATAGAGAAAAACTTAGTCTTAAGACAAAATATGATTTACTATCAACAGAAAAAACAGAATGTGACTTGGTTTTTGCCCGTGCCAAGTTTTACGAACATGGTGAAAAGGCAGGCCGTCTTCTTGCTCAACAGTTAAAAAGTAAATCAGCATCTCGGCTTATTCCAAAGATAAGGAAAACATCGCAAGAAATTACAGTAGATCCCCAGGAAATTAATTCTGTTTTTCATAAATATTATTCAGATCTGTACAGTTCAGAATTTCCACACGATGACTCTTTCATGTCAAAATTTTTGGCTAATGCTAACCTGCCCACAGTTAAAATAGACCAAAAGAATAATCTTGATAAACCTATACAACTTCAAGAGATAGAGGATTCAATCACAGCCATGCAAAGTGGTAAAGCCCCGGGACCAGACGGGTTTCCCGTCGAGTTTTATAAAAAATTTTCCTCACAACTATCCCCATTGCTTCTTAATATGTTCAATCACTCTCTTGATCAATCAAAACTGCCATCAAGTCTTACACAGGCCCATATCACAGTTCTTCTGAAGCCAGATAAAGATGCCCTTGATTGTAGTTCTTACAGACCTATTTCCTTACTAAATGTAGACGTTAAAATTTTATCTAAAGTACTGGCCTCTAGAATAGAGTATATAATACCAGATATTATTTCACAAGACCAGACAGGCTTCATAAAGGGGCGCCACTCCTTCATTAATATTAGGAAACTTCTTAATGTTGTGCATTCTCCTGCGTCAGAGGGTAATCCTGAAGTGATTATTTCTCTAGACGCAGAGAAAGCGTTTGATAGAGTCGAATGGATCTATTTATTTGCTGTATTAGAGAAATTTGGATTTGGCTCAAAATTAATTTCCTGGATTCACCTGCTTTATCATCAACCTAAGGCAGCCGTAGTCACAAATAAGATAGTATCACAATATTTTTCCTTGTCTAGAGGCACACGGCAAGGATGCCCCCTTAGCCCTTTGCTATTTATTTTGGCTATAGAGCCATTATCATCAGTACTCAGATCATCACAGTCTATCAGTGGTATTAAAAGAAGGGGTGTAGAGTATAAAGTATCTCTATATGCTGACGATCTGTTATTATATATAACTGACCCACTATCATGCATCTCTGAAGTTGTGAAAATATTAAAAGAGTATGGGTACTTTTCAGGTTATAAATTACACTTCTCTAAAAGTATATGCTTCCCTGTAAATCATATGGCAGATCAGATTACAGATACAGACTTGCCCTTTTGTATATCAAAATCAAGATTTAAATACTTAGGAATAAATATTACCCGTTCGTACACTGATCTGTTTAAAGCAAATTATAACCCCATACTTAAAAAACTTGAATCAGATTTCCGACGGTGGAGTGTTGTGTTATATATTTGTCTTTAACTGGTAAAATCAATTGTGTTAAAATGAATGTGTTACCCAGATTATTGTATTTGTTTCAGAGTCTTCCAATTTTCTTGCCAAAGTCCTTTTTTCAGTCAACCAATAGGTTGCTGTCTTCCTTTATATGGGGGGGCAAAAAGACAAGAATACGCAGGGAGTTTCTTGAAAAACCTAAAAAGGACGGAGGACTGGCTCTCCCAAATTTGCTAAATTATTATTGGGCAGCAAATTTACAAAAAGTTATTTATTGGTTTCAGTCCCCACATATAGAATGGTGTGAAGCGGAGGCTAAATCTTGCAAATCAACATCGCTGTCGATGCTGATTACAATGAAGTCACCATTCTCACCATTGCAGTTTTCCTCAAGTCCAGTTGTAATTTCGACCCTCAAAATATATAATCAGTTTAGACAAGCATTTCAACTCACAGAATTTTCCTTGGAAACCGCCATATGTAATAATCATCTTTTCCCAGCTGCCAAGCTAGATGCTACTTTCAAGCAATGGCAGGACTTGGGCATAGTTAAATGAAGTGACTTTTTCATTGATAATATTTTTGCTAATTACAATGACCTGATTCAAAAATGTAATCTTCAAAAATCTGATTTTTTTCGTTATCTCCAGGTCCTGCGGAGACAGCCTCTTATGATTCACCCGTCTACTATAACTCCACCATAACGGTGAACGAGGACGAGTCTTTGATGAGGGCTTGCAGCTATTATATCTGCCTCCAGAATCGCATCAATTAGAATGTGCAGCTATTGCCCCTGCAGCTCAATTTTAATGCAGCCATTTTTTCTAAAGCATGGACTTGACCCAAAGGGCTGAGCTCTGCGGCAGAGAGCTGGTGGCGTATAATAACTCATGTTAACGCATTTGCTGCACGATTCATGGCACAGGGAGGGTGCTGGACCCCGTAACTCACAGGGGCCCATTAACAAGAGATCACTCGCCAAACAACCACTAATAGGACCAGGCTGCCGTGAAGACTTAGTAAGGCATCTGTTTCTTCTCTCTGCAACCTGTCCCAAATGAACAGCCAAAGTGAGAAAAAAGCAAAAAAACGTAAAAGTGCCAAAGCAAAGTGCATTCTTTAATCAGCTTTATGAATCCCCATTTGGCTTGTAGCTCACAACTCATTTGATTAACACACACAACACAGGTCTTCATTGATGTTTTAACCCTCTTTGTCTCTCCCCATTTTAACGGCAATGCTGGTACCAACCCAAAATCCAATGCAGCAATGTGACAATTGATTAAATGCAGAGTTTGCCTAATTAAAAGGTTTTCAAAATGCAGAACCTGTCTGGATGTGCTGATTGGGGCCCTTCTGCAAATATTTAGTCATCAGGGACAGTCAAATCTCTTGCTTTTTGCAGACAACAGTTTGCTCTTTCTCTCTTCTCTATGCCAGTGTCTTAATCAGTCTGTGCGACGTGACCATTTCATTAGCATTTTCACCCACTGTTCATAACAAAAGCTGATTTTAATAAATTAGCAGGAAGAGAATAAATTAGCTTTGGGATCTGGGAGAATCCAAAACAGCCTGAAAAAAAAAAGTGGCTTAACAGAGACAAAATAAATGTCTTTCCAGCAGGAGCGTAGAAACGACCTGAAAAGTATGACAAGTTTGACACTGGTTTATATGCCTAGTTGCCACGGATACACTCATATGAGACCATTTAAAAACTAAAAAAAAAAAACCTTAGAAAGTTTCTAGTGCCATCAGCATTCTAGCATTTTTGTCATGAAACTTTAATAATTAGGGCTAAAACATTGTTGTGACAAGTATAAATAAATAAATAAATAAATAAATAAATATATATATAAATCATTTTTGTCAAAAAAATAAAATAAAAAATTATTCTGTAGTTCATATCTTCTCTCCTCAGGACGTTTTTCTTTATGTCAGTGGCTTGGCATACAAACTGTGCCTGGCATGGGTTATATCAATAATATGCATTATTTTATGTGACGTTTGGAAGTTGGTAGCCACTGTAGGATGACCACCCACCCTTCAGCCCATTCCTATAGCGATCCAGTGCTAGTCTCAAAAAAGTAATAACTTCACCAGCTGTCTACAATTTTTTTCCCTGTGCGCCACTGTCAAACAAAATAAAACAAAAAAAATATAATCATTATCTCCCAAAAAAAGTGTGGGAGACTTATTTATAACAGTAGGGTGACAGCTCAGGCAAGGGCAAAACTACAGATTTTAGCATAATTGCACTGGATTGGTTGTTGTGTCTTCCAGACACGGATTAGACACTTATCTTAATGTTTTCAATGAGTGTCCTTCGGCCTAGTTTTTGTGGTGTGTTTTCACCATTGGCACTAGTCGGTCTGCGACTTTTTGTCCGATTGAGCATGTGGAAGTCCATCGTGAGAGAGATCACTCTGATTGGCTGTTTAGCTTAGTGAACCAGTGCACTAAGCAAATGACAAAGTCAAGAGGGCACACAGAGAAGGCTCTTCTCATTTTTTTATCTGCATCTCATCTGTAATGATTTTCACGGAATCCATCTGTGGTGAAGGAGATTGGAGAGTTATGGAGAGTTAATTCTTCTCACGTATGCAGAGAATGTATGTGCTAGTTGGTTGTTGGCTGTAGACTTTTCCGTTTGTTCAAGCGCAACTTTTTTGCCCCGATTCAGGTAACGTGAGGCAACACCACAGTCGGCTCTCGTTGCCGTTAGGTCTTTGATGTCGTTTGGTGTGTCTGGGCCCATAAGGTGTGTTCATGCAGGAATTCTGCTTGTGTTGTAAAACGGCTGGATAGAGTGCAAAACAGAACACAGTGACCTTGAGATGCTTATTTTTAAGTTTAAAACTTATTAACACCCATTGAACCCACTGAGACACAACACAATGGCCAAAGATACCAGCATGGATGTAGGTCAACAATTAAAATATACTTGGAGTTCAACGATACTTTTGTTGTTTCCTTTTGTTGAAGGTAATCAATTTATTACAAAAGTGATGCTTTGATGGCTGTAACTGCGGTGCTTTAAAGAGAGAGATTTAGCATGCTGACAGTCCCAACAGATACAACATGCTGTCAGCATGCTAAATTGCTCCCAAAGAAGTTAACACGATCTCTAAATTCAGTCCCTTAAAAGCACCACTGCTAGAAAACCCTCACTATTCAACCTCACTAAGTTAGTAAAACTCAGCCCTGGTTTCTTTGAGAAGGAAGGAATGCTGATGTGTGACTAGTGTTTAAGCGTCTGCTGGTTTTCATGTTACTGTACATACATACATGTAAAGTAAATGCTAACAAATGTTAATGTATGACAACCCCACCACCATCATTTCTCATGCATGGGACTATTACTCACCTCGCCATGGCCACACCAAACACACAGCCTCCAACTATGGACCAGAACCCGATCCAGCCAGCATCCACCTGTGAGAGAAAGGTGCAATCAGCTGGGGTTTTTCGCTGCTTGTAATGCTGGACATCACTTGTGGAGCAGCTAGATGGATAGTGAGCCAGGGGCGTCTGCAGTGTCTATCAGAGAGAAGAATAAACTACCAGACCTCATGCTGTTCACGAACATGTCTTTAATGAACAGTCTGGTTCAACAGCAGACTTCATAAAACAGATGGTCTATATCAGGGATGGCTGAGGTCAACCACAGTACTGATCAGACCAGGAAGAACAAAACAAGTTACTCTATGAGGACTAAATAAAATGATATTTAGACTTAGAATCAGTTTTTTTTTTCAAACACACACACACACACAACTGTTCAAAAGTTTTGGGGTTGGTAGGTTTTTTTTAATGTTTATGAAAGAAGTCTCTTGTGCTCACAAAGGCTCCATTTATCTGATGAAAAACACAATAAAATTATATAGTAAAACAGTATTCTATTTAAATCAATTCTATTTTAATATATTTTTAAATGTCATTTATTCCTGTGTGATGGAAAAGCTGAATTCTCAGCCTTCTGCATGATCCTTCAGAAATCATTCTGATTTGGTGCTTAAGAAACATTTCTTATTATTATCAATGTTAAAAACAGCTGTGCTGCTTTATATTTTTACGGAAACTGATAAATTTTTTTGATAGATAGAATTATTTTCTTCTTCAACGGATCAGCATTTATTCTAAATATAAATCTTTTGTAACATTATAAACTATTTTATACTGTCACTTTTGACCAATTTAATGAATACTTGCTGAATAATTTCTTTTTAAAATAAAAGTCTTACAGACAGACAGACAGACAGATAGATAGATAGATAGATAGATAGATAGTAGGGATGCACCGAATGTTCGGCAACCGAAATTATTCGGCCGAAAATAGCGAAAAGACCAAATAAATTGTACCGAACAATGACATGACGCGATCAAAATAGCAACCAGCGCAGAGTGAGAGGCGCGCACTCTTTATTATGCAGCACACACGTCAGCAGTGTGGAAGCATTTAAACTGTCGGAAAAATTGGTAGAAAAACCGTATTCGGTATTCGGCCAAGAATTTTCATTTCGGTGCATCCCTAATAGATAGATAGATAGATAGATCTGCTCTATAACATACTGCATAAGCAGAAAACTTTACAGCATCAGTCTTTGATTTAGCTGATTTGATATCTAGCGATGCTAACTGGGCATCAGCCTCGATTCCCTGGGGATGGGGATGGAGAGAAGAATGCTGGCTAAGCATCTCTCACCCACTGCACAGGACTGTCACTGCACAGGAAAGCACCTTCAGCAAAACACTGATCCCACATCAGAACATTTCCTTAAGGTCCTTCCAACCTGCGGCTATCAGGATGTACACCTGTACCCCTGAGCTGAATCTCATTATGTCTTTGGGGGGGATGTAATGTCACTATTCAGAGAACACTGGGCTCATGAATATTGCTTTGCTCATTGTTAGCTAGGCCAGAGTGTCACAGTGCCCAATTAATATTCATGAATCTTGCTAATTAATATACAAATTCCATAGTAGAGCTCACCACTAAGATGAGATGAAATATTACTTTAACATCAAGACACAATCAAAAATCATTTAAAATTCATTCCATCCCTTTAAAAATCTCAATAACGCACTGATTGAGTATTTCTTTACATAAATGGAAGTTCAGTCTCGTAAAGTGTGATTTGTGTGACACGTGACATTTATTTGACAGCTTCATCCTACTGGAATACACAAATTCAAATGTAATGTTTATTTTACTATGTGTGGAGATTCAGCACTGCGCATTTTCAGATTTCACCACCTACTTAATACTGTCAATGTATTATACTCTTTGGACAAGCACATTTTTAATAAGCGGCAGTAAGGCGCCGCTGCGCTGAGAATTTATATGGTCTGAGGATGCATGTGCTGATGAAATGTTCTACCGCAGGGGTAAAAGACATCTTTATCTATTTGAAATAAGCATCAAGTGCTAAAACTACAGTAAATTATAGCATATAATCAGAATGTAATATATCATGTGCTTTTAATGCGAGCCAACAAAGGTAGACTACATAATTTAATATCAGCTGATGTTGATGGCTAAAAGCTGATGGCTAAAAGTATGGGGGAGTGGGGGGGGTGGCAGAGAGGTTTGGCCCTCTGGATCCGGCACCCCTGGATGTATTAATTGCTATTTCCATTCTGTGATTTATGTCTACTGCTGTAACGCTGTTATTTCCCCCAGGAAATGAAGGAGATATCATTACCTATGCTATTTCTTTTGGCAAAAAGTGTAACTCATGTGTGTCCAAACCATTATTCCAAATTCAAATTTTTCTGTCATGCAGCATAGTGCACTGGAATTGTTAGGATTTGGGACAAGGAGAAGGATGATACGGTGGATACCCCTATTAAAATGATGTTACAAGTCTATGCAGTTTAGGAAATGCTTTGGTCATCACTTGAGTTCCAGTAGGCTAATAATAACACTGAATCAATAAAAAAAACTACTAAATTATAAACAGATTCAACAGAAAACTTAGGGGTGACAAGGCCCAACTAGGCACAGTGCTAAATCCGGCCCAAACAAACAAAAACATCATACATTATATGGTGTCAGTATAAAACAATATCAAACAAATCACATTCGTCTGGGAATGCTAACACTTTTTCCAGGTATTCTAGACCTCCTTGCTTGATGCTCTTAGCTCACTAACATGTTTACACTGGAAACCTCACGGGCAAAAAACATGGCATCACTCACTGAAATGGGTTTTAAAGAAAACCACACTGCTACAACTATTGTTTTAATCAGGGCGAAAGAGTTCCACACACACACACACACAGGTTTGTTTTTGTGAAAAGTGGGGGACATCCCATAGGCGTAATGGTTTTTCTACTGTACAGACCGTATATTCTATTGCCCTACACCAACCCTACCCCTAAACCTACCCCTCACTGGAAACTTTGTGCTATTTCAGATTTTCAATACACTCCATTCTGTGTGATTTATATGCGTTTTGAAAAGTGGGGACATGGGGTAATGTCCTGAAAAGTCACCTTCTCCTTGTAATACCTATGTCATACCCTTGTCATTATACAAATTTATGTCCTCATTTGTCACAAAAACGCGCGCACACACACCACAAAACCAAGCCCTAGTTTTGAGCAGTTTGAGGCAACTCTCATAAAACAGTCACTTGTAATGTTTCTCAAAGCCAGCAAAGCACCTTCAGTTTGATAACGACTTTCCAAGGGCAAAAGATGTCTGTCTAATCAGTGCGCAGCCATTGTACGCAGGCTTAATGGCCATTCACCAGAAGCAATTAGACAAGGCTGATTAATGTAGCGGAGGACCATACACTTAAATGATTCTAATTATTGTTGTACAACTCTACATGCTTACTGCCTCAGGGTTCTACCGTTCCATTTGCAAATTACTGTGTGCGAATGTGGAAACGTATTTGTTGTTGACTTCTGATACTGATCAAAACGCAGTAACTTAAATATCAGCTTCAGAATATAAACTTCCTAATGCTTCTAACATCATTTGCAAAATACATTTCATACGACAACTGGATGCTTTTCATTGCTTTCCATCAAAATCAACAGAGAAATAATTCAGAGTAAAGTAAATTGCTAACACTTTACAAAAAGTCCCACTGGTCAATGGATTAGGTATCAACAAAAAACAATGAACATTAGTTAGAATGAATGTTAGTTCACAATAAGGTCGTATATACTGTAAATAGTTTACATATAGTGTTACAAGCAAAGCTAATGTTTCTGAATTCTGCAGTAATCTTAAATTAGTTTTTTCAATGTCAGGTTTCAAAAGTGGTCCAGGCTGAATTAAATGTTTAAGTTTAATACTTAGAGTCTGAGGTTTGGAACAAATCCCTAACCAGAATGTTTGAGGAATATCAATAAGCTGCTGTTTTGTGAGCACTTTTTACAATGGGCTCCTATAAATCTATACATAATTTCAGTTTGTCTGATAACACTTATTTCTCTTCAACCAAATTTAAATGACTAGGAAAAAAGACCTTCTCAACAATAGTGAAATATTAAAATAGGAGAAGGAAATGCTTGCGGCGTACACTTTCAATTGTTAAAAAAAGAACTGAGACTTGAATGAGAAGACGGAAAATTCAAATTAGCCTCACAATGGCTTTGGGAGCAGATACATATTGTGGAAAAAGGAACAAGGCCTTCTATTTTCGACTTGCATGGTTTTCTTTCCAATAACAGTTCAAAGACCACCTAGTTTACCTGGAAAATAAACTGCAAGACATGAAAACATCATCTTTGTCTCCGCAAGCCAGTAATTCAGCTGGGCCCAGAATGTTACATGATTGCTTTGGCCCATAACTCTCACATTTCAGATGCAAATGTGAGGAGGCTGGGGAGAATCAGAAACTCTGAGGTGGAGAGCTCATCTCATTAAACTGTGGATGGCCCATCAAAGATGGAGTACTTTTGTGAGTATGCAAATAAAAGCGTCTTGAGCATGTATGTTTGATTAGATTCTGATGAGCTCTGTCTGGAGAGGGAATGGATGGAGAGGGCTATCTTCATATGGACAGCTCTGGATTTTCAAAACTATAATTAGATGTTTTTAACAGCTTGTTTTGAAGTTCAAAGTCCACCCGTTCAGGCCTGCCAGTTTTTTAATGAGAAAGTATAGAAAGGCAAACCGTTTTTCGGTCAGAGTTTCCAGTCAATACTTCAATGTGTGTTTGTACTCCCAGGGTTAATTATCAGTCAATAACCATTTAATCCAGGGAAATTACATTTCATTTGAATCATAATTAAACTCATAGAAGGTGCAAATGATTTGTACATCTGATAAATGCAGCTTACTTAAGACACAGCATACTGAAACACACGGGAACGGGTGAAAGTAATCAGGTCTTTCAATATTTGGATTAATTCATAACATCCAATTGTTTTATTAAACATTTAACCATCAAAGCATAAACTAGACATCATTCTTTTCATGAAAACCTTTTAATTACTTATAATGTATCATCTAAATGGGCCCAGCATGGAATATGGGATATGTCTTACCTGGCTGACTTTAGCAGGTGTTAAAATCATGTCCAACACACCAGCCCAGCCGGCAACAACCCCTGTGGGCACGGAGTAGGCGAGTGCTATCATCAGGAAACGCATGTTGCTGAAAAAGCAAAAGCAAAGATGAGGACTGATGAAAACTTTTAGCAATAGAACACTATGAAAGCACTTTAAGCCACTAGGCTGCATTTTGACTGTGTATGACGCCCATTTTTGAAAGAGTAACAGATCTTTCAGAGCTGTCATGAAGCTGAACATCAAAGCTTGTGCATCTCGCAAAGAGTCAAAGATTGTAGATTTTCTTTCCTATACCTTGCAGCCTGTCACCAAACATTTATCCTACCTTGCAGCCCAGTGACAGACAGATAAAAGTCTCCTGAATACAGAAAATACACAAAACTGATAGCAGAAGCAGATATCAGGGAAGCATAATGCTAGGATAAAGACATGCCCAGAAGTGGCGCTTTGTCTTACATGGATTTAGCTTCCTCAACCAAATATGATTCTTAATAGGACACTGCACATTATCAAGCAAGTGGTCAATGTAATATTACAACTTTATTAATATTACAACAAAATTACGCAAATGCACCACTGAACTTGAAATTTACATGCTAATCCACTTGCCATTTTAGTCAGAGTAAAACTGACTAAATTAATGAACACGACATGATAAAATATTGACCAAGTAAAAAAATATAATGAAAAAAATGATTAGGGGATATTTTTAATTGTTGATGTACTGCAGCAAATGCCTTTGCGAATATAAGAATATGCAATGCTAACCGACAGCTTTCTTCATGTACTATAGACCTTGATATCAAGAGTTTAACGAAGTAGGAATTGTTCTGAACATCAAATTAAATCTAACTGAGCCACTGGGAAAAGCCATGCATAATATCAGTATCTGCATGTTTTTTTTAAATAAATCATATATCTGTAGGGCACAGCTGAAATACTTTTACTCTTTAATAACATTATCTATGAGACTCTCTAACAAGCATTATTTGCCAACAAATCCTTCTTGAAGCTAAGCAACAACAAAGTTGCTATGTATATAGAACCATTAATACAAGCAGCACAGTGCATGGTTTAGTGTACTGTCAATTTTGTGGTAATGCTGGACTCCGCTTCACCCACACTACTCATAATTACCTCCAGGTATGAATCACTGGGTGTGAAGGAACTTCTACCATCTACATCCAGTCTATTAACAGGAAAGTGTGAAAGCCAAACATGCTTTCAGTGGGTTTTACAGCGGCCGTGAAGAGGGCAATAGCAAAAAAAGGTATTGATGGAGGACCCTTTCTCCAAATTGTACCCATTTCATTAACCTCACAGCTGGGGGAGATCGATATCTATGCACTTTTTTTCCCCACCAAGAGCTTATTTAGATTATGGGATATTAGAAAGCCTTTTTTCCCTTCTTTTGACAAATTTGGAGGAGCCATCAAACCAGAACAATAATCAGCTAAGTGCCATTTGTCCTTGGCAGGCCCTGTTGGGATCTAATACCCCAAGATGAGGATTTTGCAATCCATGGCCATTTTTAACACAGAGGCCATCAATACTAATACTATTCAATCATCACTGTTAGCACAGTAATCAAACACTGGATGACGGTTCCCGTAAAGGAACAATGACATAATGATGCTCTCTGCTACAAACAAATCAGGCTCAAAAACTTTGAAGTTTCACCAAGTCAGGTGAGCCAAGGACTTGGGAGTTCAGAGACTGGTGGTGAAATGCAATCATGATCACATGACCCCAGTCCGTATCCAATGTACTGTCCCTGGAGGCTAGCTGTTTTACAAAGCTCTACCAATCCACTGCTCCATTGAGATACAAATGTGAGATGGCTACTGGAACTCTGCCTATCGGTGGGACTCCAGACAGCATTACAGTCCCAATGGGGTGACTTCGTCCATTCATTTGTGTTCTTCTTTTTGCTTTCAGCTCTGCTGTGAGTGGGAAAGTTCTGGCGTTCCTCGGAGGGGGTCAAACTGCAGACTCTCTACAATAGTGGAAGCCCAACAGTCTTTTCCAGTCCACAGATTTCAGCCAATTCCTCTAGTGTTGATGTGAGAATGCATTCAAAGCAGGGCTGGCTTCCTCTGATCTGTGAATATCGCAACTACCCCAAGCGTTGCAGGTGCGACTACATCAAGAGAATTCTGACTAGCTGTAAAAATGTGCCACTGTGGTCACACTGGCCTTTGTGGACTTCACTTGGTTATTAAATGTACAGATCAAGATCTTCTATTTATTAAGTATGGTCAGCATGTGCCATCATAAGGCTTGGTAATTAATCTGCAGAGAGAAGATCTTTTCTTTGATGTGTATTAAATGGCAACCGCAGCATATGGTGAGTGGCAAAATGACAAGATCCTGTTCATTAAGATTTTCTTTTGTAAAAGCAATGATAACATTTCAGAGACCGTACTGCGATCAGGGAAACAGAATGTGGAAGTTACAAAAGGCCTAAAATAACAGATGTCCATTGTTGTGTCCATGTGCAGATGTACCCAATACAAAATATCTTGTGAATGCCAATGAAGAACACTGATCTTCTCATTATAAATTTATTTTTTAACTAGAATATGTGTTGTGCTCAAGTCTTTTCAAGGTTTGATTTCAATCCTTGCACTTGAATTTAAAGGGACAGGAGATCTTTGTTATCATCTATTCATTCCTATGCCGTTCCGAATCAGTTTGATTAATCAGATGGATAATGTGTCTTCAGTAGAACACAAAAGCAGATATTTAGCAGAATTGCTCTTTTCTATTCAACAGTTAGTGATTCAAGCACCAAAAAGGAAATGTGCCACTAAAAAACAAAATCAAAAACATTTAAAGGGGTCATATGAAGTTGCTAAAAAGAACATTACTTTGTGTATTTGGTGTAATGAAATGTGTTTATGCAGTTTAAGGTTCAAAAAACACATTATTTTCCACATACTGTACATTATTGTTTCTCCTCTATGCCCCGCCTTTCTGAAACGTGTCGATTTTTACAAAGCTCATCGGTCTGAAAAGCAAGGTGTGCTGTGATTGGCGTTTTTTTTTTTTTTCATACACATGTATTGTTTCACTGCAGAAGACATTGAATAATCAACTGGGGTCGTATGGATTACTGTTGTTTGTGTTTTGTGCTTTGTGTCAGCTTTGAGGGACCATTAACTTATATTATATGAGACTGATTATTTTCCTAAAAATATCTATTTGTGTACTACAGATAAAACGAAAACGATATACATCTGGGATTACATGAGGGTCAGTAAATGATGAGAGAATTTTCATTTTTGGGCCAAGCTAAGCCATATGGACAACTTGCATGGTTCTTTCTGGCCTTTTTGGGGCTTGACAGCTGTGATCATCCACTGTTATTGTATGGAAAATAACTGTTAGATATCTATGTTTTTTTCTTAGAATTCCATATTAGAACTTTTATGTTCAATTGAACTATTCCTACTTTGCTAACCTCCATTCCTTCTTTCTCTGTTCAAAACATTTAGAGCAGTCTGGTAAGGGAGGACTGTTGTTTTACCTCAGAAGCCTGCAGATGCTGCTCCTGTAGCTGAGACGTTGGCTAGCCGCTGCCACGCTGGGAGGGATGGGTGGCATGGAGGGGAAGTACAACAGCACAGCCACGAAAAGTGCTGCAATCATCCCAACCTCTGCAAGTTCACAAAAACACACAACATTTATCATGCAGCCTTGGTGTCAACATCAAATCTCACAAAGATTTTACGGGTTCAGACTTAATCTATCCCTGTTAATTAGAAAAAGAGCTTAACGCGTCTGGCATTTCACTGCAATTTTCAGATACTAAATTCAAATTAATGAGAGAGAGAGAGTGGTATCCAAACCAACATCATTAACGGACATTAGATGGCTCACATTAATCTAGAGTTAACCATGAGTCTAGCAGATTTATTACAATCCTGTAGAGGGAGGAAATGCACAATGAAACAACCGATCAGCTCATTAACATTAGTCCACAAAAAGCTCCTGCTTTCAAATGTGCTCATCCAGTGCTGGAATTTGTGACAGTGCTACCAAGTTGATAATTAAGCATTGCTGCAGCCAAGCACAAAAAAACCTGTTGGCACACAGTATCTCAAATCTGGATGCACTGGCACTGCCACTGCCAGCACAGTCTTCGGGTTGAGTTCCTAAATTTTGTGTCTGGGCGTTGTCCACATGATAAAATAAGTGCAGTTTCCTTGGACAGATCCCATTTTTTTTCAGCTAGTTAATTTTTACAATATCGTTTCTATAAATCTGCCTTTTCTCTCATAAAATACAGACTTATCAAGCTGGAATGGGTACAGGTGGGTGATATGACAAATCTTATATCATAAAAGAATAATTTTATATCACGATAATGGTATACATCAAGCTATACACTAATGCTCAAAGGTTTTGAAAGATTTAATTAAATATTCATACTTTTATTTAGCAAGAACACATTAATTTTGATCAATATTGACAGTAAAGACTTTTATAATGTTACAAAGGATTTCTGTTTCAAATAAATGCTGTTCTTTTTCACAAAAACACTGAGCAGCACAACTGAACTGTTCAGCAAAATAAACAATATTGATTATAAAAAGAAATATTTCTTGAGCACAAAATCAGCATATTAGATACATTTCTGAAGGCTCATGTATACACTGAAGACTTGAGTAACGGCTGCTGAAATTTTAGCTTTGATACCACAGGAATAAATTACATTTTAAAATATATTAAAATACTGGTAAGTGTTATTTTAATAAATGGTGAAATATTTTAATGTTTTTACTGTGTTTTGATCAAATAAATGCAGCCTTAGTGAGCATACAGCAAGAGATTTATTTCAAAAACATTACAAAAACAAACCTTGGAAAGAATAATTTTATATCACGATAATGGTATACATCAAGCTATACACTAATGCTCAAAGGTTTTGAAAGATTTAATTAAATATTCATACTTTTATTTAGCAAGAACACATTAATTTGATCAATATTGACAGTAAAGACTTTTATAATGTTACAAAGGATTTCTGTTTCAAATAAATGCTGTTCTTTTTCTTTTTCACAAAAACACTGAGCAGCACAACTGAACTGTTCAGCAAAATAAACAATATTGATTATAAAAAGAAATATTTCTTGAGCACAAAATCAGCATATTAGATACATTTCTGAAGGCTCATGTATACACTGAAGACTTGAGTAACGGCTGCTGAAATTTTAGCTTTGATACCACAGGAATAAATTACATTTTAAAATATATTAAAATACTGGTAAGTGTTATTTTAATAAATGGTGAAATATTTTAATGTTTTTACTGTGTTTTGATCAAATAAATGCAGCCTTAGTGAGCATACAGCAAGAGATTTATTTCAAAAACATTACAAAAACAAACCTTGGAATGGTTGTGTAGTTGATGGAAATTCAACTAAATTGTTATATGAATTGATTTTTATATTAATTAATAATTTATATGAATTAATCATGTTGTAATGCTACATTGAATGAAATACTTTACAAATGAAAGGGACTTCATCTCATTTTATTTTTTTCTCTCCTTAATTAGAACTTTATGAGCACAAAACATGAATAGTGGCATAAGTGGGAACTCCTTCAGTGCTGTTTAAAAGCTGTAAATAGTATAGCAAAATATCTACTAGGCCTAGTTGCCAGATTTTACTGTCACACAGTGTATACTGTTATACCGCCCATGCCTAAAGACTTGGCCCTTCTCTAATGGTTTTATTAGACTGGACAAATCTTTGCATCTCTTCAAGATTTCAATCTTCAAGATGCGTGCCAAAATCCGGTGCATGTGGCTACATCTTGATGCCCAGTGTTGCAGTAAGTGTCCCAATGACCTCTAAACTACTAGCAAATCAATGTCTTTTCTGTGTGCGAAAGTAACGGCAACATCTTTCAACTTAAACAGAGGCAGAGTATCAATCTATTACTGGCAAGATTTCTTTCTCTCAAAATGTTTTAATTTTCTGAATCAGTTAAGCAGAACAATGTGAGGCAATCTTTATAGCGAGGTAAACGCAAACCACGTTAAGACGTTTGATTGTGGTATTTGGACAGCCACCATGGATGTCTTTCTTGTGATTGCTTTTCTGTATGACAAATGCTTAAAATAATTTAATATTGATTCAGAATGAATGCTGTTGCTGTATTGTCAACAGACAATACTGTATACCTGCATAAAGAACAAACTGTATCCTGTCTCCTATGTGGTTTTGGTTCCAGTAAATGGTGCTTCCCACAGTGCCATTGGGTGCAGGGATAGCCAACGGACCAATCAGAAAGGCGCAGGCTGACCCCAGGTAGCTGATAAGCGATGCAACAGCCGTGGCTGTAGCTCTCTGATCAGGAGCAAACCAAGTAGTAGAGAGCAGCTGCACAGATCAAACGGTTAGCGTGGTTTCGTTTGCCGTTTGATGTTTCCCATATGCAACAGAAATGGCAGCGCTGATGAGTTGGCCAACACGGCGTTCACACCAGTGAGACTGCTCACAAAATTTTGTAGCATCGGCAGAAAACAAGGTCACAAAATGCGACCATTTGGTCGCAGACTGGAGCCCTGAAGAGGCTTTTGGTCAAGCCTTTCCTTGTTTCATCCTAGCAATTGTCACAAACTGAACAAAATGTTTTAAGGTCTATTCTTGCGTTCATGAAGATGTGAAGTTCTTTACTGTGGTTTGTCAAAGAGTGTCCGAGGGATGGTAAAAATAAAAATAAAAACTCTGAAGATGTACTAAGTGAAGGATTGATAGTATACTTTCCCTAGATTTAAAACCAGCTCACAAGTGCATTTGGTTTGGCCAGTACACATCATACACAACATTCAGACTGCCCTTTATAGGTTCTTGAACCTTACAGTCTAAAAAAAAAACAACTTTGCTTCAGTCATGAATCATGCAATGCACTCCTCAATTCCCAATCAAATACAGTGTGTAAGCTCTCTCAACTACTCCTTTCTCTTTTGTTCCAGGATGCTGACATCTGATTCTGCAGAAAGGTGTTTATGCATTCCTACAGCATATTTTTCAACTGGACATAGCTCCTGCAACACTAGTCATGCTAAAGCCTGGGTGTTTTTGCTTCTAATGAAATGGGCTAAAATGCACTGTGGGATTTTTTTCCCTTAATAAGAAAAAGCGGTCTGCATTTGCATTGATTGCAATCATTGTGATACCCCTCACGTAGCTCATAATTGGATCGTAGATGATTCTAAATCCTACATCTTAAGCTGATCATCATTATGACTTTATGTTTGTCAATTATGGTTGGAAACAATGCAATATTGACAATTCTGGTACAAAGAATGACTACAGATATTGCCTATATATCAAGGCCAAAGAATTCCAGTCTGAATTGAATCTGTTAGCTTACTTTAATTGAGCAATAAAGTGTAAGAGGCTGTACTATATTGTGATTATAATCAAATTAAGTTCAGTGATACGCACAATGCTCAGCAGAGTGCCTTCAGCCCTTTCAGCTAAGACTATATTGAAAATAAAGCACAGCCTTGAGTGAGTCATAGCATTTATCGAACAGCTACTACATAAAAATATGTACAAATTTTTTTTTTTATTAGGCAAATTCATTAAGTGCTGCCTTTCCACTATGATCCAGTCCTTGACGTGTAAACGAAGGTCAATATTTGGCCTCTATGGGTGCTCCAAAATAATAAAGCAAGCAAATGTGTGTTTCAGATTATAAATACATGCATACTTTGGACTGGCTGGAACACTGTATAGACCAATCACCATCCAGGACTAGAACATTTTCACAATATCAATTATGTGTAAAAACTTGTAAATGTGGGACTTTCTAACTGGTTGGAAAGTCTGATGGTTAACTGGTGGGTTTATCCTGAAAACAATGCTAAAATGCAACTAATCATATAATCATGCAGAGTTAGGATAGCAACATAACCAAGCTTATTAGCCTGTAGAGGAGAAATAGTTTCACACATTTTTTAATCGCCAAAGGCTATGTATCCAATCAAACACTATACATTATTTTTGTGCAAATAGATGTCACTTGGTAGAAGCTACTCAAATTATGCCAACAAAACAAAATGACTAACAAAATCATATGAAGCAAAACGTGGTTTGCTGCAAAGAACATGATAGATAAATTTACTAGGAACCAAGATTGTCAGCTTTTCTATTCAACCCATATTGAAGTAAGTATTCAGTCAAAAGACTGCCTGACTTCTGTTCAGTTTAGCTTGCAAGGAACATTGTGGCTCTATCTCACTCCTCACCACCAAGACAACAATAAAAAAAAATAAAAAAAAAGACTAAGGCATAATGGTACAATCTGCTGCGACCACAATCGCTGTTGATTTGAGAACAACCATTGGCATTTGTAACCAAACAGCATTGCAAAAAATAGATTTTATTGCTGCTACTTTTTGCCATGATTGAATCTCAGTCATTCTGACACCACATCAAGCTTCTAAATAAAGATTTAGGCTAATAAAAGTAAGAAAAATCAGAGAAATCCGTGAATAGGGCTGATTACTTTTAAACCTCGAATCTGAATCAAAGTAAGAGATGAAAAGGGAGAAATGAGTCTAATGAATGGAGAAATTTAAAGGCAGTGGAGTGGTAATTTAGCCTTAGATAATTCTGATCTGGCACGAGCAATGTCAGGGAGGATTCTCTGCTTTCTTATGAAACTGCTGGGTTAACAGGATTCTAATGCAAATTTAATAACCTCCATGAAAATGACTAAGTAACATGTTTTATAAATGGACTGCTTTATACTGACCAAAACAATAACGGTACTGCCAAAAAAATTTAAACTAAACGTCAATGCCAGAATAAAAGAGGGCCCTGGGAGAATTTAAAACACATTGCCAGTGTTAAAATCACAGCCATTGAAGACATGATTTGTGTCCTTATGTTAAGTTACAGAGGAGAAAGGTAATAGTATTCAATCAAAAGAATGCCTGAAACTTCTGTTCAGTTTGGCTTGCAAGGAACACTGTGGTTCTAACCAAGTGACTACTCACCACCAAGAAAACAATCAAAAAATCGACAAACGCACAACAGCACAATCTGCTGACCCCAATCGCTGTTGATTTAAGACTAACCATTGACATTTGTAATTAAACGGCATTGTAAAAAAAAAGTTATTGCTGCTGCTTTCTGCCACGATTGAATCTCAATCATTCTGACAAACCAAAGCTTCTAAATAAAGATTTAGGTTAATAAAAATAATTGAAAATCTGAATGAAAAAAACACATGAATAGGGGTGATTACAGAAACAGTTCACCCAAAAATGAAAATTATGTCATCATTATTAACTATTCTTACGTTGCTCTGAACACATATGCTGTTATTTTCCCCCACAGAACACAAAAAAATATATATTTTGAAGAATTTGTACACTGTTCTTTTACATTCAACCACCATTCATATAGTGATTACATCAAAGTCGGACCCCAAAAAAATAAAAAAAAATCATTAAACTAGTCCATGTATCATGCATTATATTATATATAAGTCTTCTGAAGCTGTAAGGTAACTTATTGTGTGAGGAACAAACCAAACTGACGCATTATAAACTGCTAGAAAAGAGCTGTAAGATTCTTCAAAATTCCTTTGTTACATAGAATAAAATAAATAAATAAAAATAGTAGAAAATTACAATATAATAATTTATTTAAATTATATATAAAAAAAATGTATAATAAAAATAAAAAATTCAATACAAAAATAATATAATTTTATATAAACATTATTTATTTATTATAAAAATAATACATATTTTAATAATACTTTGAAATATTAAACAACTACATCACTTTTCAGTTAACAATGTAAAAAAACTTTTCTTCTATCAAAAACGCTTCTATGAAATGCCATCTAAACAGAGCTAACTGATGTCTGATGGTGTCCAATTTAGCCTTACACTGTGAACTCTTAAACAAAATAGCATATTCAGATCAGAATGACTCTTTCTAGTGTGGCATATCAATGATTACCATCAGTCACATGCTGGATCACATGATATGCAAAACGGTCATTACCTTTTCAATGAAAAACTTTTACACATTATTAATGCAAGTGCTGACACCTAGTGGTAGCTCAATTCACAGCTGAAGTCACCAGGTCTCCTACTTCCTCTGCGACCTAAGCTTAACCAAAGGCTTTCAGTAGCTCTCCATAAACCTGTTATTTTTGCAACACATGCATCTCATGACTTAGGCAGTGTGAAACTCTATGTGAGTCATGGGGTCGGTGAATAAGTCCTAAGCGATCCACCAGTAACTAACGAACCTTGTAGCACCTGCTCATTTCTATGAAACCTTACATGTTGATTGTATAAAGTCTGCTGGTGGTGTAAATGTATTTAAACAATACATCATAAGCTGTTCTGGGCTTCTAAAATATAAAACACACAACATAGAGTTGAGCCACTTCGTATGAATCAATAGACTCGACACATTAAGTGCCCCCGTGTTAAAATCAGCCATTACATTAACAGTCACTGCAGACAATAGTTGCTTGCAATGTATCTTTGTGTTTAAATGTGCTTGTGGTGTAATATATAAATATATAAAACTATCAACATAACGTCTCAGGTTACTTATGTAACCATGGTTCCCTGAGTAGAGTCCTACAAAGCTTTTCCTGTTATATATCAAGCAAATGCACAATTTTAGATTATATAACTGAGAAGGTCAATGTGTCACTGTGTGCTCTAGGATTGTGGGAGCTGTGAAACTAAGCTATGTAGCCTTGTTTCATTCAAGTATCTAATAAGCAAATAGCAAAAATAAATAAATAAATCTAAAACAGAGGGGGAAAGTAAAATTAATGCACTGTTTGAAAAACTGCAATGTTTTAGCTCTTAAATGCTAAGTGAAAAAAAGCTATAAAAATGTGTTAATTGTGGTGATGTACAATAATGTTTTAATGCAGATGGAAATAACCATATAGATACAGGTAAGTATGCAAATCTGCATGAATTATATGGTACCCACGTTCTCTGAATGAACCAACAATTTTCGTCATGCCTCAATAATAAAATATGATTTACGCTCATGATTTACGCTCTGATGTCTTATATTAGTTTTATATTGTCAACTGACTTCACTAACATAAAAATAAAATAAAATAGCCATTCTAATTAAATCTATGTGCAACTTCATTTAGACAACCTTGATGTCCATCATTGGTGTAGTTAGCTCTTTGTCAAAAATAGTAATAATAGAAAAGGTTTGTTTCCTTTTCTCACAACTGCAATGAGAAATTTGTTATAGTTATTTCTATATGTGCGGTTGTTAGCCATGTGTGAATGAAACAGCTTAAAGAGATAAGGAGCGAGAGAAAATGGAAAGAGGACACAAAGCACAGAAGAGGACAGGAACATTCAATTTTTCAGGTAAAAGAATCCTAATCTAAAGCAAACAGACCACAGTCAGTTAAATTGTTCCAGCACTATGTATTTAAGCAAATGAAAAGGTCACATCTTTAAAGCGGTACTAGCCCGCAAGAGTACCATGTAACTTTGCCAATAAATAACACACTTTCTCTTATCATAAGTTGCAGTGAATTTAAAGTCAGCATAAATATTCTGAAAATAAGTGTTCGACTTCATTTATCATAAAATTGTATTATTAATATACTGTCCAAACTGCTCTCTATATAGAGGCCGACAAGTACATCTAATCACACAAATAGAGCTAGATCACGAAAGCCATAACTATACAATAAAATATTTGCCATTCAAGTCATCAAACGCAGCTTGTCAAAACAATATTTCTTTGGCTGTGCAAATTTAGACCTCAAACAGTACAAAAATATTCAAATGACCAATAAAGTGTGCCAGCAACCTAAAGAAAATGTTTTAGGAAGAGACCGATCGCAACACTGTCTGCACAGCATCAAATACTACAGCATAATTTTTTTCTACAGTACCATTAAAGTCACAAAGCAACAGAAGTTATTTTTCTGTATTGTGACGTACATCCGAGTGAACTGGATTATATAAAAAAAGGTTTTAAAGTAGTGCAGGACTTGGTTCTATTCATCGTTTGCTGACTGGATGGAAGCTGAAATTACTGGAGAAATCCTGCATACGTCACTAGAAAGATGTCTGACGTTATGAGAGTTAGGGCTGTCAAAATGTTTTTCGAATTTCGAATATTCGTCGAATTTAAAATTATGCTTCGGAGAAACGTGCATAATATTTTGCTCGATGCGCCCTCTTGTGGCCTCAGGAGAGAAGCCAAAAGCTTTTTTTCCCCCAACTGAAATGATGCCTTTTAAATTCGAATATAATTAGAATATTGATAATATTTAAGTAAAAAATTTAAATTTAGTTTTTCAGCCATTTTGACAGCCCTAATGAGAGTCTGATTAAAAGTTAACAGGTCAAAAAAGAAACATGCATAAATGAACATGTAATTTTAATATGCCTATACACTTTCACTCCAAAGCAGCATTTCATACACAGTGCGGCATCATGTAATAAATGCAGTTACAATTTGGAGCAATGTGAGACCGTTGGAAAGCAATCTCTGATCTTCTAATGACTTATCTCATTGGGAAATTGAGGAACTGCATAATTACACAAGTGATAAGGAACCAACTTTTAGTGAAAGCTAGTTTGGGTAAGTGGAGTTTTTGTTGAATAAATTATGCATCATATTGTGCAACAGAGCCTTACCAGCGTCTGTAGTGCAGGTCTTTGAGGGGAACACTTCGTAACGCTGCGCCCAGCACCATGAAGAATGCTGACAGCAGCAGAGACGCTCGCAAACCTTTGGCACAAGACAGAGAGGAAGGAAAGAAGGCATATCAGAGAGATGTAATTTCTTGTAAGCTTTGATTAAGTGATGAGATTAGCTGTTGATGTAGATCTATCCCTAAGATATAAGCAAACTATGCACGCCTATCATGAAGATATCAGGATTAGGAAATCAGATGTGAATGGTTCATTTTTAACCATAAAAAATAATTAAACATGATTTATTTGTGACAAAACAAATGTTTGTGTCCAGAAGCCATAATGAAAATCTTTACTCCATGAGCATTTTCCTGGATTCATGCATAAGAGCAGAAACTTGAACTTCAATAACGTTTTTGAGTTTAATATAGACACTCTGGCCTGTGGTTTTTGGCAGACATTGTTTTTACAGCCTGTGGCAATCGCTTTCGTGTTGAGAACAAAAGGGAAGGTGAAATGCTCCCATTCAAGATAAAGAGCAAAAAACATGGTTGGAAGCTTTTTGCTTAAACATTTTCAAAAGAGCATGCCCTTTCTTACCAAAGATATCAAATAAAGTGTGTTAATATGTTAATAAACAGAACTTGAGCATCGACAAGCTGTATAAGCTAATAGAATAAGCTATAAAATGTGGAAACTGAAAACATTTGTTTGACAATTATCAAGTCTTTGAGATGGCCAAAAATGCCTTATTTTCATGCAAAAAAACGTGAAATGCATTGGGGAAATGTTAAAAACATTAAGCATTCTGTCCTGTTTGACCAAATGATCTTTTCCAAATACAAACCATGTGAGTGAAAATGTCATTTCCGAGGCTCAAAACAGATTCCTCACAAGATACTCTTATCTAGGGACAGTTCACTTAACAATCACAATTCTCTCTCACACTCATGTCCTCCCAAACTGAAATGCTGTTATTTTTTTATGTGGAATGTAATATTTACACAACTAATTACCATACAAGGACAATTTATATTGACCATGTAATAAACACTAAAAAAAAGTTTTTTACATAAAATCTGAAGTCATACGATAGCTTTGTGTTAGGAAAGACTGAAATCAAAGTTATTAGTCAAAAATCCTTGACCGAAACAGTTAGTGCTTCTCCAACTACGCGTTTCGGCTGTGTCAGCGCCTGCTTTGTGCACACAGAATGGATAAGTTAAAACAACATGTCATCAGCATGGACAAACCCCACTGTAAGAATGGTAGAGCAGTAATATGTAAAATTTGTTTTGCTGAATATCGAGAGATGGCTTTACTTTACTACAGTACGACTCATTTATCACCTGTGAACACAAAACCACCCAGAACAGCATACCAAGTTCGATTACCCAACTTAATTTTTGGCTTTGGTCGATGAAAAATGTTAGTTTCAGTTAAATATTCAGTGCATCACTAGGCCTAGATCCTATAATTTTGGGTGAGCTCCAGCAAAGTATTTATTATATTTATTACTTTGTGGTCCTTTAGATGGTTCCTGACCATAATTTAAATATGAATAATAGAAATTTAGGTACAATATTTCCCTTATATCTCTACTGGCAAACAGATCTTTACAGTGGCTGGAAAATGTCATAAAACCTGTACAGTTTAATTCTCATGTGAACTTTATAAAATAGTACTGAGATTCTATAAATGTTTTTTCTTAAACTTTCTTAAAAATAAACAATATACCATGAAGTACTAGGTATTGAAATCAGCCAATTCATTTCCATTTTACCATTAGATATGTTTATGTCTGTTTTACATTTCATTCAAGGCCACCAAGGCTGTACTTCCCTCAACTTAGAAACTCATTCAATTGTCATGACAAGTATAAATACAAAATTGGCATCTACTGACGCCATGCTTACATAAAGACGCGTGTCATATGATGTTAGGGAACTGGTTTTGTTGCCTAACATGTGATGAACTACCGGTTTATGATTAATTTTTATTTCACCTGATGTAAGGAGTCCTTCTGTGCAGTTTGTTTTTCATCTAACCAACATAAAGCATTAGTGTAAAACATAATTATTCACAAATTTTCTAGTTTTTCTAAAAGTATGTACTTTGAGAGAGTTACACATCTGGCCACACAAATGTAAAACTGTAGTAGATATTCAGATATTCAAAAGGTACTTGGTACATGAACACTTTTGTCAGAAATATATGTTGTCATAAAAACACAATGGTATATAAATAGGGCGGTAGTATAGAATTGTGATTAAGGGTCAAAGGTAAAAACAAATTATAGTTTGGATGTGTCCTTAAAAATGGTTTGAAAGCCCTTTGTTGTACTTGACAACATGTTTAAAAGAGATATGAACAACTAATGACACAGAGCTAAATTTTCTTAATAAAATGAATTTGTGCATACATTACACATTGAAATGATCAAACTGGCTCTGGTTATTATGTGTAATTAGTGATATCACACAATCAACAAATCTGTCTAAATATTGGCAGATGTATCTAGTATAATTTGTTTGTATTTACAGATATTGTTGCCATGACAAAACTAAAACAACTCACCTTTCTTATCCATCAACCAAATAAACAGCAGCCAGGGCAGGTAACCCACTGGACCCCACATCACCAGCACCGCGATATCTGTCGATGAGAAGTCGAACACATGCTTGGCTGAGATCTGGATCGGGCCCCAGGTGTTCCACACAAGTCCTTGCATAAACCCCAACAATGAAAACATGGTGAGAACAACCCATCTTCTCCTATACACCCTGCTGAACACAGGCTGTGTGTTTGTCGCCGGCTGGGAAGGAACCAGCAAAGGTTCCCTTTCTCCTTCGGTGCTTTCCACGGCACCCATTGAACAGACGTGGTATCACGTTTTAAAATGACTTTATGCAATCCGGCAACGTCTATAACAGGCCACATTAAAAGCTAGGGCACTCGCTCAATTGTCAGCTGCCCATCGAAACAAAAACAACCGATGACACTCCAGCAGCTACGCTCCAAACTTTAATGCGCATGCGCTGCCTACAGACGGAATTGACGTAACGTGTGAAACTGCAAGTCGTTGTTCTCCATGTTGGATCAACCATTTCAAATAACTTAAAGGAGACTTCAGCTCTTCTGTTGAGCCAACATGGCCGTTTTTTCGTTTCCTGTGTGTTGAGAGGAAATAACAAAAATCAGCGGTAAGTCTCACGTGAGTTTTGTTTACTAGCTGGAAAAGAGATTTAGATTCCAGATGTGTAGATTCCAAACTGTTAATATCTGCAGTAAATTTGCAATTTGTTTATGCAGATGCTGCACATGCATTGACTGTGTGTTTTTACATTTTAATATGAAGTTGTCAGTTATATTGATAGTTGTCACTTAGATTATGGTTCTGACTTTGTGATTCACTTTAGTGATTGTGATGTATTTTCATCTGAGTGATTTAAAGTAAAACTCCTACAGTTTATCTGAAAGATTACTGAATGGGTTTTTCATTTGTGTTGTATACGACAAAATCCACTCATCTTAATCATCCTCATCTTATTTTTTTTTTTTAATGTAGAATGGCTTCAAAACCCTTCACTCCAGAGGAGGTGAGGAGGATTGTCCAGTGTCTACAGACACCTGCTGTGTTTCTGAACATGACCACAGACTGGCCAGCATTACACTGGACTGTGGAGCACCTGTCAACTTGCCTTACAGAGAGGCTTCGGTTTCGTATTGGGAAAAAGACTGAGGATATGGGTAAGCCACAAACATTAAACAGCCTCTCATAGGTATTAACAAGATCATCAGAGTAGAGGAACTCCATTTGCCCAGGACATCATTTTTTAAACATAATCAGGACATAATTTTCGAATTTAAATGATAGGTAGGCATGTTAGAGCAGGTTTGGACAACAGTAGCTTACTATAGTTACTTGTGAAGTGACTATACCCCATGTAGCATCCTACTTTCTCAAGAGTATTCCACACCTTTGTTTTAATGATCTAAATTAGGCAGAGTAGTTAACTGTCTTGAGTAATCACACTTAATATGATCAAAATGTACTCCTGTGTTCAGATTAGAAACCACCTGTGTTCAGCAGTTTTGCACAATAATAAATACAAAATGCTCGTCTTTCATTTTGGAGAAATTTATTTTTGTGTTATGGTGTTATTGATAGGAATAAAGTAAGCGTGGGAAAATTTGCAAGTGTAACTGAAACATGTTCTGTGGGGGGTGTGAATACTTTCGGAATGTGGTGTACCAAATGGCAGAAGATTTTTCTATAGTTACTTGTGAAGTGACTATACCCCATGTAGCATCCTACTTTCTCAAGAGTATTCCACACCTTTGTTTTAATGATCTAAATTAGGCAGAGTAGTTAACTGTCTTGAGTAATCACACTTAATATGATCAAAATGTACTCCTGTGTTCAGATTAGAAACCACCTGTGTTCAGCAGTTTTGCACAATAATAAATACAAAATGCTCGTCTTTCATTTTGGAGAAATGTATTTTTGTGTTATGGTGTTATTGATAGGAATAAAGTAAGCGTGGGAAAATTTGCAAGTGTAACTGAAACAAAATGTGAAACATGTTCTGTGGGGGGTGTGAATACTTTCGGAATGTGGTGTACCAAATGGCAGAAGATTTTTAGAATACTTTGAGTAACTTTTTTCCCCTACAGTGTCAACAGAAAACAGTTATTTCTGTTATTAGATGCCCTCTATCACAATGTGCAACTTAATTTGAAGTAAACTTTAATTTGAACTTAATTTGTGACACATTTGCAGGAAATGAAACGGTCTGATACAAATAATTGCCAGAAGTGTGAAACGGTAATAGTTAGTCTTGCAGAAACCTTTGTCACCAATGAAGGCTTTGCTTCTTCAGGTTCTTTGGCACTTCTGGCAAATAGTTATTGCAAACCATTGGAAACAACTGTTAGACTTTTTACTAAAGTGAAATGTAAATATGGGAAGTGAACATGAAATGCCAAGCAGTGACAGAACTGTGACAAAACTGTACTTCTAAGTTTTAAACAACATTTTTCAGTAATAATTAAAAACCCCAGTTTTTATGACTTCAGATCAAGCAAACTGATATGGTGCTTTAGTATATATGAAAAATAATCAATTTCCATATGGAAATAGCCTCTTACACAATACAGTTCATTTGCCTAAAATCATTTTAAATTATCAAAGGATTTTTTTCCAGTTTGTGCATTTTGAATAAACCCTTTTGGAATAATCTATTCATTAATTACTTTTCACTTTTGTTTCGCTTTGTTCGCACCAGCTCCTCTTTTTGAAACAGAGTGTTCCTACATTGAAGCAACCATTAAAGAGTTTCTGTCCTGGACTGCCAATGAAGATGAATCACTTGTTGGGCCATTTTCTGACCATCACTGCAAAGAAGTATGGGCTTATGCTGATTACAAGTACATTACCCAGCTTTTTCAGGATAAACCTGCCATGTTTCAGGTAAACCATGCAAATTCCCTTCCATTACTTTAAAGAAATATTTAATATTTTTATTTTTCAAATATTTATTATTATTATTATTACTATGCAATATGTTGTATTTTAATATATATTCCTATAATGTATTAAACTCTATATTTTGCCATTGCAAATTCTACAGTGTTTATGACGGCTAAAATGAGCCCCATTTAAATAAAATAAATGGACAAGACACTACTCTTTTCATTTTCTCCCACAATCAATCATACTCTCAGACCTCATCAAGCACCATATTAACCCATTTGCCTTTTTCCGCATGCCAGTTATGCTTGAGAGAGACCAATTTTTCATGAAGTGGGGCTCTACAGCACACGGGGCATGTCAATGACATCAGCTTTGATCAATAAACACAGTCAAACATTCATTAGTATGTATTGCCTTGTCTCCCACGGATGCTTACCTTTATTTTATGAGCTCTCTGAAACTGTTTATTAGCCTACTGTTGTTGCAACTTCTCATGAAAATTTATGACAGCACTAGGAGTAACAGATATGAAGAGCAATTAATCAGTCCTTGCTGTTTTATTATTTAGTAAAACATATCCTATCATTGTCATTCTGTGGACATTTAATGATATTTTGTGCCAATTTATTTTGCTCTGTGTTTCCCAGCTAATGTTCATTTCTAGCTTTCAGTTGTTGTAAATCATAAATGCTTATGAGGTGCCAATATTCTCCCTGCCAGCTAGGGCATCGAGAGCAGATAAGGGCCTCTCTTAAATGATGAATAGGGTAGTTTGAACATTGCTGAGGGCTTGCTTGATTACATACCATCTCATTTACAGTCCCCTGGACGTGGTAATGGTTTCATTATCTACCTTCAAGGGCAGCATCTCTGAGTGGGTCTTGTTTGAATTGACATCAGTAGGCGATCAGATAGTTTTTTGTTCTTTGTAAACACAAACATTATAACTGCAGGATGTGGTGTGGTCGGACTTTGGCTTTCCTGGCCGAGATGGACGAGACAGCACACTTTGGATTGGGACACAGGGTGCTAACACTCCATGTCACCTTGACTCTTATGGTTGCAATCTTGTTTTCCAGATCCAAGGCAGGTAAGAACCAGGTTTAAACAAGGTTTACTCAAGTTTTGGGGCAAAAACTCCACCAAAAGTGACAAACAGGCCAGAGGTATTAGCAATTATTCCGTTTTCAATTATTCAGTTTGGTAACATTATTCCCTTTTAGTATTATTTATGTATTTTGTTGTATTTATTAATATTTTGAATTAGCTTTTATTTTTATATTTTAAGTTTTCAATTTAATTTTAGTTTAGATTTTAGTAATTTGTGTGCTTTTGTCATGTTAGGTTTTCTTTGATATTTCTATTTAGCTTTCATTTATTTTTATTAAATTTTAGTTTTGGTAATTTTATTACTTGGTAATTTACTTAAATTACTTCAACTTAAACAGGCAAGATTTTAAAGGTTTTCATGTAAAATGTATATTTTGTTATTGCATTTATTCATATTTTGAATTGGTTTGTAGTTTTATATTTTCAGTTAAAGCTTTGGACATTTTATGTGCTTTTGTCATTTTATTAGTTTTTTAGATTTCATTTATTTTTATCTCCTTTTAATTTGAGTAATTTTATTACTTAAACGGGTAACTTTTATAAAGTTAAATTATTTTATTTTATTTACATTTTATTTCAGCTTTTTAATATTATCAAAAGCCGTTTTTAATTGTTTTAATTTTAGTTTATTTTAGTTAAGACATCTCACCAATCTGTGTTGTGTGAAAGACATTGAGAGAACGTTAGATTTAGGCTTTTTTTCTATTTACAGATCCTAGACCTGTCACAGAGACAGGTGTGATTTCTCAAGACGCTTGTTTCAGTGAAATCTGTCATGTAGTGGGTAGTAGATTCAATTGAAGTACTTGACATATGTTAGAAACAATATGCCCTCATAAATTCCCCTGAAAATCAATTTCAGGGGCTGAATGTCACCATTTAATAAACAAGAACCCATAACCTTGCTATTTTATTGTATTTCTGTGCACCAGTATGAACTCTTGACTAGATGAAACTAGTTTTTGATGACTGGCTGTCAATAGACCCCTGAACTAGATAAGCCCCAGGCAAAACTGCCAATTTGGCTGATTCTGTGAGCATGGTTTAGAACAACACCATGTGATTCCTTCAGATATTGACAAGAGCTCTATCTCGTCTTATGTTAGGATTCCTGATCCAATCCTGAGCTGTTAAAGGAAAGCTATTTTTCCTCTGCATTCAAAAGAGCAAATGAGAAACGGAAAGTGCAGTGATGTGAACAGCTATTAAGATATATTATTTGCTCCATTGAGAGAAGCTAAACCTGACAATGAAGAACCTCCTCCTCCATCTTCTCTCTGGAGCTTGTCTTGGCTCTGTAATTGCTTATTGAGGCTGCTCGTGTCAAGATAGCCTGCCACAGAAATCACAGTATTATATAATATCTCCTGCGAGTAAGTTCATAATACTTCGAGAAATCTCTAAGCATTCCCATTCATCTCAATGGCAGTTGCTTGGTTGGCACCTTAAGTAAATACAGAAGCTGCATGACTAATTCAGTTAGAACTAATGCCTCTAGAAACTGACGTTCTGATAGTTCTGACAGTTGTTTGGCTAGCGAAAAATATAAATCCATTTCACCTTTTTTATGAGCCCTCCAAAAACTTTGGCATGCTAAAAATTTCTAACATAATGAAATATTTGTGATGTATCTATTAATTTGGGCACAAAATCTCAATGTTATCTCAATAAAGTCATTTTTTTCTCCAGGAAACGATGGCATCTCTTTCCTCCCGATGACACACACTGTCTCTACCCAACACGGATACCATACGAGGAGTCCAGCGTGTTCAGCCAGGTTAGCGTGGTCCAGCCAGACCTGAAGACGTTTCCAGCATTCAGAAGAGCTCGAGTCCACACCATCACTCTGCAGCCTGGTCAGGTAGGCCAATATGAGATTTTCTAATACACTTCCTGTCAAAAGTTTTGGACACACCTACTAATTCGGTGTATCCGGTGCATCCTAGGATGATATCCTAAAAATTACAAAAACACACAAAAAGAAATTCTACAACTTAAAGTAATATTAAAATGGAAACTGAAAATGTAAAAATAAAAACTATAATAGTATATAAAAATTATAAAATGTTGGATTACCTTTTACCCTTACCCATAATTAATTTATAATTTTCTGACAACATAAATCCAACATGGTGACAAAAATGGTGCACTAAGCACTTCTGCAATATTTACTGTTATCTTGCAACACTGTTTATACAACTCTCAATTATATTATTTTTGCACAGTCATATGAAACTATAAAAAAAAAGTATAATTGGTGATTTAATCATGTGTGTATCTGATTCAGAAAATCTCTGTAATTTTCTCTATAAAGTACTACATTCACTGAGTGCCCACTTTAAAATTTTGCTTCTATGCCAATTTGTTCTCTAACTAATTTTAGAATAGTATAAAATAACACACATGGGAAGTATTCGGTGCACCCTAGGATGCTTTTTAAACTGTATTAAAGGAGTTCTGAATTTGAATACATTATTATTACAATTATCATTATTTTAATTATTCTATTATTAAAAATATTTAATTATAAAATTAAATAGATTATTATTAAAATATTTAATTTAAATGATCTCATTTAATCACAGTTTGTTGTCCATAAAACTCATTTCAAATGTGTAGTCATAAGTTGTTTGCAAGCGAAGAAGGGCTTGTTTGAATCTCAGATATTACATAAATCAGATTTAGTCAAGATTTGTCCATTGTCATTGATGGTACATTCCCAAAACATTCAATATAACGTTCCCAGAGTGTCTTTTTGGATCCTGTATCACAACAGTCGGTCTCCTATGTGTGCATTTTGGTGGCTGGTAGTCGAATCAGACAGCAGTAGAATAAAGCTGTGTGTGTTTTGTAGCACACCCTCCTCCTTCGGATTCCAGCAGCGTGTGTGAAACCTCTCTGATCAAGCTCTTTGAGAGGCGAGATGGTGGCAAGGCAATTAGCGGCGGTCCAACACAGCGAGCGTACTCTCTGGGAGCACTCACACTTTTCACAGCATACTAATGAAGACGAGAGACATACACTTCCATTCTTTGAGAGAGCTAACACTGCTCCACTGCCTCTCACTGCAAATACAAGGGGGAAAATCACCAGAAGAACTTTTTTTATTTGCAATGTACCTTGAGTTCTGGAATGTTAGTGGTAAAAAAAATTTTTAACCCTCTGATGCTCTGCTCACTACAGTTGAAAAATCTGTTTTTAATCATTCAGGATGTGATTTACATTCAGTGCATATTTACCCCATTCTCCTCCTTAGATTTTAGATATGTTACTCCACTCTCATATGATTGCTATTAATGGGAATTTACTACAGCGACAAAAGCTGTTTTTAATCACTTTTATGCTTTTCTGAGGTGTGGGGGCCCTGGAATATTTCCTTATTGGGGGCAAAAAGGTTGAGAACCATATTATCTTCAGTAAATACAGTTTTTTAATCCTTTGCCCAACTAAACTAAGAGAGAGTAAGAGAACTTTTAAGAACTATACAGGGGCTTAACAGTTCTTTGTATGGCAGTGGTGCTATATAGGACCTTATCCACCCCAAAAAACTGCTGAAGAACCATACTGGTTTTAAAAGGTTCTTTATTATGGTAGCGGTGATATATAGCACCTCAACCACCCCAAAGAACTGCTGAAGAACCAATTTTGTGTGTGTGTGTGTGTGTATAAAACTATATATTTTCATTAAATGACATAAAGCTGAAATAAAGTAAAATGAATTATAAAATAAAAAATGAATAAAATTAAATGTATGAAAAAATTTAATGAAAATGAGAAATGTGACCTTTTCTACAAACTGAAATAAAATAAGTTTAAGAAATAAAATGATTTAAAATAAAAAATAATTTAAAGCTAAATAAATGTTAGAAATTCTTTAAAATATAAATAGAAAGAAAAACAAATAAAAATGACAAGCACATAACACAATTACTAAAACCTTAACAAAAATGTAAATGAAAACTGAAATATTCAAATTATTAATAAATAGTTTCTAAATAATAAAATCTCTCTAATTTTCTCCTTTGAATAAAGTAGTACACTGAGTTTTCATGTCAGTGTGTTCCCTGACATTTGGCTACATGTTTGTTTACGCCTTTGTTTTTATTATAGAGATTTGCTTGGATTTAAAACCACTGTATGTGAAAATCGATTGACCCCATCTAGTCCCATAAATATTGCTAGGATATTGATTTTTTTATGTCCCAAATGGTGTGATATTATATAGAGCACAGCTGCCACCTGGTGGTAAATAGTATTTCAATATATACATCTTTATATACTTGGGTTTAAAACTAGTATACTATAAAACTAGTATATAAACTAATATATATATATATATATATATGAAGAGTTCATTTGCAAAAACAGATAAATCCGTTTTTAACAATTCTCAGAAATCATGTTTTTTCATTGTGCATTCCAATTAATCTCAATCAAACAGCAGTTGGGTTAGTTTGACTAGGTTAAAAAATAACAAAAAAAAAACAGCCAACTAACACAATAAAACGCAATAAAAACATGACAACATTATAAAAAATATGATTTTTGAAAATTACAAATATTGAGTTATCGGTTTTTGCAAATAAACTCTTCATATATATATACACACACACACACAGACACGCACGCACGCACGCAAGATGCACTTTGGATCATTCTGATTTTATTCTGGAGGACATGATCATCAGGTTTTACACAGTTTTTGTAGTTGATGCAGCTTGAGTGCTGCTGTCAAAACAAAAGATGAACAAACAAAATACTAAGAGCACCTGAAATTCACTCAAATTGTTGTGCTGATAATGTGATGAAAAAAATTATTAGTAAAATACTGTTCATTTAATATTAATATTAAATAAGTATACTCTGCAGGTCTTTGCTTGATATGCTATTAGTTTTGACTGACTGCTGTAATCTTTCATCAGGTTCTGTTTGTGCCCAGACACTGGTGGCACTATGTGGAGTCAGTAGATCCAGTGACTGTCAGTGTGAACTCCTGGATTGAGATGGTAAAACTCTTTATGGCTTTGCTGGATTATTTCTATTGTGAATCATAGCTTCCTCTCAGTGCATCTTTTGAAATATGATTTTTTTGTTTTGTTTTGTTCTGTTCTCAAAAGGAGATGCTGAAATCACTAGGTTGTGTTTCCACCAGCTGTAAAATGCATCTTGTGTAATCAAACAGCTATTTAATATGCCCGTTTACTGTAAATGCTCCCATTTAGCAAACCTGATTGCTCAAACTATCTGGGCAGTTTAAACAATTGTATAAGAATTTGATTAATCAAGATGACTCTATTTGATGTGTACTTGAGTCAGATGTAGTTTCTTTCTTTTTTTTTTGGTGATTTTTGTATTTATCGTTGTGCCGTAGGACATGGATGATGAGGCCAGAGTAAGAGAAGCTCTCACTAAGACCATTGTGTGTGCCCTGAAAAGCGCCCCCAGCTTAGACAACAACGACCACTGGCTCAATCCTACTGAGGTATTCACTCCAGCACATACACACACAGTGCAGAAGAGATTTATTTGAATTCTCTGTAAAGCCATGAACGTTCTGCATAACCAAGTTTCACACCAAAACTCTAATTATTGAAAGAATGTTTCTTTAATTTAATAAGATAACGTGTGACCTTTTGTTCTCCAGAAGGTGCCAGTTTATTCAGTTGTTTCTTTTTTCCAACATCAAGATTATAGCTTAAAATGTAAATGAATGTACTGTAGTTTTTTGTGAAACAAAGGAATACTTTTACTTAGCAAGGATAAATTAAATCACAGTAAAGATTTATGTTACAAAAAAAATCTATTTCAAATTAATGCGATTTATTCCTCAAAGAATCGTGAAATTTTTTTGATCAGTTTCCACAAAAATATCAACCACTAGGAAATGTTGCTTGAGCACCAAATCAGCATATTAGAATGATTTCTGATAGATCGTGACACTGAAGACTGGAGTAATGACTGCTGAAAATTAGCTTTGCATCACAGGAATAAATATGATAGTATTTCACAATATTACTGTTTTTAGTTTTATTTTCGATTAAAAGAAAGAAAGAAAGCCTTGGTGAACATAAGAGGCTTGTTCAAAACAATAAAAAAGCCTTACGGATCCCAAAATTTTGAATGTTAGTGTATATGTTTGGTGAACTGGTTGCCATTTCATTTTGTTTTTGTTCTTTTCCACCTTGCCAGGTTTTTGTAGTTTGTGCAGAATGACAAATCAGTTTTAAAAAGTATAAATATTCCATGTAGATCTGGGCCCGTATTCACAAAACATTTTATCTTACCACTAAGAGTTCTCCTAAATAGCAGTAAAAGTTTTTAGCCAAGAGTTTTCTCTTAAAACCTATTCACAATGCTGCTGAGACAAACTTTTACTAAGGAATAGAGAAAAGTCTTAAAGGGGTCATATGACGTTGCTAAAAAGAACATTATTTTTGTGTATTTGGTGTAATGAAATGTGTTTATGCGGTTTAAGGTTCAAAAACACATTATTTTCCACATACTGTACATTATTGTTTCTCCTCTATGCCCCGCCTTTCTGAAATGCGTAAATTTTTACAAAGCTCATCTGTCTGAAAAGCCAGGTGTAATGAATGAAGATATTTACTCACCCCCATGTGATTTCAAACACATATGCTGTTATTTTCTTCACAACAAAAAGGAGACATTTTGAAGTATCTCTGCAGACGGTGATATGATTTGTGCGCTTCAGGTCTTCTGAAGCCATATGATAGATTTGTATGAGAACTAGGTTGAAAATGGGTTTGGAATGACAAAGGTGACAGAATTAAACTTTTTGATTGATATTGATTACAGTGTGTCATCTTGATTGTTGTTCCTTAGGATGGAGTTTCTTCACATGATGAAAACATGCAGTATTTAAACCTAGCGGTAAAGGCCTGTATGGACAAGAGGAGAGATGATACTGTCGGCATGCTCTCACTTGTAGACCAGCCCAGAGCAGAGCTGGGAAAACGTGACTCCAGCGGACAGTTAAAGACTCCAGCATCTCTTACCTTCGTGGTTCCCTTCGGACCTCATCTCATTCCTGTTAATTTGGCTCACAAACCCAACTGCACCTGTCCAAAGGACACGTCTTGTTACAGGTACAATGACCTGTCACAATGTCAAAGTACATCCCAAGATGAAGATGAATCAAGAAGTGTCAATGAACTTCAAAGATGGGGTCAGTGTGCACATCAGGAAGAGGAAAGTCCAGGAACCTCAGGAGGAGGTGCTGGTTTGCCCATTTCCACCAATGACATGCTCCAGTTCCTGATACACCCTGATGTCATCACTCTAGTTACAAGGCTAATCATGTGCCGACAAAGAGAACTTCACTCTTAATTTGTACCAGATCAACAGTATTTTTATAAATAAAAGGTCGCATACTAATTATTTTTTTGAATCCATCAGTCTTTTTGTACACATCAGTTGTCAACAATGTTGGGTCCAGACCCAAAATAATTTATGTAAAACACACATTTTGCATGTTACATGTATTTAAGCACCTGTAACTGATGTGACAGTAATGTTGTACAAGAGTTAATCAAAAACACTACTCACCTGAACGGCAATTATAACAAAGACCCTATTCGGACAGACATATTTGTTCCCTGATGGGTAAATTTAGGTTTCAGAAATATGAACTTAGTGAATGTAATCCCATCTGAATTGAACAAGTCTGTGTTTTTCTCACACAACTTCTGTTAAAAGTACATAGTGACTGAAAATGATTTTCCAGCCAAATCGGCAGTAGAAATCTAATCCCGTTGGAGAGGAATGTCTGTGATTGTAGTATATAATTTTTTCACAACACACTTTTATAATTACCTTCATCAAATACTTTAAAGCCAAATTTTATCTTGCTTTTCCACCATAGTTATTTATTTTTTTGGTCCAAATTTTTGGGTAAAATAGCAGCTGGTGGATCAAATCATGCTGCAATCCTATCTGGTGTAACTGTATGCATTATATTATAATTACATCACATGACCCACACATACACATGACAACAGAGTGCCCAATCCTGTCCAAATTAGTACATGAAATTACAGGGGTCCTATGATAACTAATTACATCTAGATAGTGCAAGACTGACAAACATTATGTACAAATGTGAGCTTAAAAATGTGCAAATGGCATTAGATCATGATATTGTTGAAGTTTATTCACTAACATTCTGGGGTCAGTAAGATGTTTTTTTTTTTTTTAAGAAATTATTTTATTAAGCAAATACTTATTAAATTGTTAAATTATTTTTTACATTGTTACAAAAAATATTTTAAATAATGCTGTTCTTTTGAACTTTCTATCCATCAAAGAATCCCCCCAAAAAATCTATGACAGTCACAAAAATATTGAGTAATTGTTTTCAGCATTGTTAATAAGAAATGTTTCTAGAGCACCAAATCAGCATATAAGAATGATTTCTGAAGGATCATGTGACACTGAAGACTGGAGTAATAGCTGCTAAATCTTCAGCTTGGCCATTGCATGCATAATAAATTATATTTTAAAATATATTAAAATAGAAAAAAGTTATGTAAACCATAATAATATTTCACGATTACACTGTTTTTCCTGTATTTTTTATCAAATACAGCCTTACTTGAGCATTAGAGACTTCAAAAACAAAAATCTTACAGACCTCAAACTTTTGTAAGGTAGTGTTCGTCACATTCTTAATAATTACATTTTATAACAACAGATTTATTTTTGTAAGGTGCCATGTAAAGTAAAAGCATAATAATAATTCCTTCAGTGCAGTACATTTCTCTTAATTCAGTTAAAATATGATCCCTGAGCAGTAGAGCTCAGCATTATGCCACAAAGGCTCTTGAACAAAATACCCTGACTGTGGTTAACAGTCTGATGTGAAAGAAGTTAATTAGCTTATTGGTAATTAATGGATCTGAATAGTTCCTAACAAAACCCAGTCATTTTGCTACATCTTGGTTTGCTTTGGCATGTCAGTCAAGGAAACCGTCTGGTTTTTCTTACTATCAGAACTTTCCACTTACTCATCATCTGTGCCCTCGCTGAAAGTCTTGTCCAGCTGGTCTGGATCCACATAAGTATAGAAATAGGCCATGATGGAGAAGATAATGCTGACAGCCACCAAAAAGGATGAACTCTGCCCACTGTAGATTCAAAAAGCAGTTTGTCAGTGCAGGATCTATGCATTAAAACCATGGGACAAATAAGTGCTTGCAAGAGTCAGATTTGACTGATCATGGGTCGAGAGGAGGGATGACCTACAAGACCATGGTGGAGGATTTGCTACTCAACAGATCCGGAGTTCATTGACAAATATCTTATATCGTAAGATGCGCTCCCTTTACTCATAGTGCGCATGAACGCGAAATCAAAAAAAGTGAAAGTGAACAGCACGAGCGCTCATTCAAAAGAGATTTAAATACCCCCCCATTGATAGCGTCTCCCTGCTACACAAATTATATGTAATATTAGAATGTTTGCGGGAACGGGCGGGACTGGACAAACCTTGCAGGAGCGGAACACACACGTTGTCACTGTTTAAGTTCAGAGCAGAGGTAAGAAGAGTGTTATCTAGCGGTCAGGATATAAACTCAAAACAAAACAATGGCCATGAATCTTGTATACATTTTTTTTTTTTAAATATCATAGTATTTGAGAATCGATACAGTATCGCCAAAGAAAATATTGCGATACTCACGTGTATCGATATTTTCTTACACCCCTACAGTACAGTAAAAGTTGCAGAAAAAACATTAACTAGAAACTGAACTCTATCACCCACCTTCGAGAGTATGACAGTATAGAAGGCACCGAAATCAAGAAGTCCCAGGTCGATGTGATATTGGTTGGAGTTTGTTTTGCAAACAACTCCATTGTATCTGAAAGAAGAGTAAATGAAGTGAAAAACTGATCAACTGGAGAGTTATTTGAAACTATATGGATAATGAAACAGATGTAGACCTAACATACTCACTCTCCCCTTGGTACGCTAATATTTTGAGAAATCCCATAATTAGCAGCTGCATAAAATTCATCAGTGCCAACAGTTATGTTGATATTCTCTGTGTGGGTATTGATAAACCTGCAAAAGTCAAATATTCTAAGACAAAAGAGTACTGAAAACGATTTCAGATAATGGCAGTTGTTTTGTCAAAGGTTAGCTTGAAGGTACTGATAATTGCAGCAAAACACTAGAGTTTAACAAAGCTGTAAAACAGTAACTTGAAACCATATAAAACAATGTTCTGCTAGTATTAATTTACCTTAGATATGCAGCCCCGGTTTCAGATTTGGTGATGTGATCCTTCACCTGTATTTAGTTTAATAATGATTCAAATCTTTCAAATAATGTATTTTAATGTATAATAATGTATATGCTGGTACACTCTTTGCTGATGAAATCTGAAATAAAATTTCACATCCAGGTACTCACCAATTTGCATACAGTGTCACCAGGTTGTGCAGTGTGCAGGAAGAGACTGTAGGCAGTCCGTTCTGTGAACGCGAGTTCACACTGGTATTCGGCCCCATTGTGAATGACAGTAACTGTGTAGAGCTGGGATTCGCCAGTAAGTGGAAGACTTGTGTATCCCGAAGGATCCTGCATGACAAGAATGTCTTCAATCACAGCTCATCTGATCAGAATTCAGAGTTGGAACAATATACAATATAAAATCATATTCACTCTTAAGTCCTTGGTAATGTCAAGTGATATTGATGTATTCTATACATTTCTGTTTGAGGTTTGTAAGATTTTTTAAAAGTTTTTGAATAAAGTGTATACTTTATAAAAAACAGTGATTTTATTCAGGATTCTTTGATGAACTGAAAGTTCAGATTGTTTTTGTTTTAATGTAAAAATCTCCTCTTGTCACTTTAGGTCACATTAAAGGCAGAGTAAGTGATTTCTGGTAGCCAATGTTGATATTTGAAATCACCACTTGATGAACATAAGTATTATTTTTACCAAACTTTTGAACAGTAGTGTATTATGGTAATTTATACAGAAAAATACATTATAAGTATGTTCATTATGGATGCAAAGAAATGCACTCGTGTTTTTCTGTAGTGACGTTACCTCATTTGGTGTAAGTGGATCTGAGAAGACCGTGTGTCCTGGAAACTGCACGGTGACATCTGCATCCATAAGATTATAAACCTGAAGAAGGCTTTCTTTGGCAGGAGAAGGCTCCACAACAGTTTTCTGGCCAGAGAGATGAAATGTAACTTTCAGTTAATGTTGACAAGCGCTAAAGGGTTAGTTCACCCAAAAATGAAAATTAGCCCACAAATTACTCACCCTAATAAATCACTTTATTTTGATTATTTAAAATAATCACTTTAATGTAGCTTGCGCCAACAGTCCTACACGGAAGCAGCTCCGGGCGGATGACGTATGAGTTCAGCGTTGCGCATACGCCGGTGAGTCTCGTGAAAACCAACGTTTGTTTACAGGATCAAAGGAAGCAAAGTTTCCTTACTTTAGCAAAGGAAAACCAGCCTCCTCTTGGCTTATATCGAAATCCTCCGACATTCTTTGTTTTGATCTCTCCCCTGGGCTTCCGTGTGCGTCACTTCTGAGCCGACCTCTATACGTCATCCGCCCGGAACTGCTTCCTTGTAGGACTGTTGGCGCAAGCTACATTAAAGTGATTATTACGTTTTGAATATGGATATTTTTCTTACAAAAACGCATCGATTCGCTACAGGAGGCCTTTGTTCACCCCCTGGAGCCGTGTAAGACACTTTTTTTATGGATGGGCGCTTTTTATTTAACTTCTTTTGGACTGCTGCATGCAACACCCGCTGAGTGGCATTAAACAGCTTGAAAGATCAAAGACAATTTTTAATATAACTCAGACTGGATTCGTCTGAAAGAAGAAAGTCATATACACCTAGGATGACTTGAGGGTGCATAATTTGTGGGCTAATTTTCATTTTTGGGTGAACTAATCCTTTAAATGACTGCTTTTAGTGGTTCCACAGAAGATCTTTAGATGCAATATATTTATAAATATAATCTATTTTTGAAAATGTACATACAATGACATTGAGTTCTATGACAGTTGCAGCACAGAATGCAAGTGCAGCAAGGATCATGCCTGCAGCCATCTTCCTTAGTGGACTGAAAATGAACAAAAAAATTGGATATAACTTGACACAGACAAGGTTAATAAGTAATCAAACGAGTGTCATGTTAACATAAATAATGTTTATATCTTATGGTTATACTATAACATTTTCCCCTGGTCTAATGTTTCGCCCCAAATACGTCCATCGAAAATGCATTACTGCAAACATTATTTTGTTTATTGTTAATTTTTTATAATTTATTATTGCGTGTACAACATCTCACAAATCTTAAACCAGTAAACCTCCCCTTAT